ATAAAATCCAAATATTTTTCCAACGCAAACATCTAGCACGCCCTCGACCACGACAAGGCATGGTCAAGACATCACCCGTGCCATGCCAATTTTTTTAGACAAGGTCCTTGCAGTAGGCCATCACTCGACCTTCAATATGTAGAGGGTTGTATTATTATTTTAGTTATTGACTTTTCAATCGGCTATAGACAATTTTCCCCTCCAATGTCATTTGGGTCATATAAAACAAAAAGCGATGGGGAAGCTACCCAATGAAAAACACCATTAAGCATAAACAGAGCAATAAATGGCCATGGATGTGTAACCTATCAGTGGCAACAAGTATTGATCCGACCCACTTCCCCATGGTCGAGGAATAAGTTTCAATGGTTTTTTGGTTGTCGAATTGTATTATAGGCACGCTAGTGCTCACAACTTTGTGATTTGCCAACAATTAGGTTGTATTTTCTTTGCATACCAATCCCATGGATACATACTTATAATGATTACAAGGTCGCGGTAGAGATACCAACTTTTTTTGGTTAAGGGATTGATTACATAGTACTTCATCGAGTGGTGATGACCACAAAGAACAAGAACGTTAAAGGAAAATATAAAGTAGCCATTTTTTCTAGGAATATACTTATTTTTTACCTTGTAGAGGTAGGACTTTAATTCGAGGTTTTGAATGACGAGGGATTTTTATCCGAGTACTCGCTGCACAAGGTATGAAACCCAACAATTGATCAAGATGTGAAGATGGGGTTGCTACATCTTTTAGGGCCCAGTCTAATCTAATCCGGCAAGAATTCTGGGCCCAAAAATCAGTCCATTATTAATAAAATTTTAAGATGATTCCAGAAGAGATAAAAGCATGTTTTCAAGTTGATTATATTTATGCCTTCATTGGATGCTTGACACTTGGAATATTTTACATCATTGGATTCGTCTTTTGGGCTTATCTCATATAAAAGACACTTGTATGCCTTTAGAGTTTCGCTTTTTAGTGTTGTTCTCTCTTCCGTCTTTGAGAAAAACTCTCTTTGTATGTTCATATTTGGTCATCAACTAGATTATTTTAAGTGATTTCTTTGTGAGATTATTGTGTTTGAGAGAAGGGTATAGCAACACATTTCTTTATGAGTGGTTACTGCAATAAGAGAGTTCGAGAGAGATTAGGGTTTCATTGAACCCCTTGTTGTTATGTACTGTACTTGATCTTTGTCCAATTTTGAGGTTTTATAGTGGATTCAAGCAATATCCTTAGGGATGCTCAATGAGGGATCAGACGTTAGAAGTAGTCGCTAAATCTCCGGAGCCCTTGGTCGAAAAATCATGTATTCTTGTTGTTTTTGAGTATATTCTTTATTGTTTTTACAAAGCAAACTTAAGTCAAAACATTGATTTGTTTGTGGGACCAACACAAGAGACCCTTTTCTTCCACCAGCATAACTATGAAGAAATGAAGAACCTTGAATGATTTCATTCCATCCTTTGAGAGACACCTAGATTTGAACACAGATTTTGCAGACAATCCAACTAATATCTTCCTTAACATGTCATTTGGGACGTCCATCTTTCTCTCTTGATCTCTAGCAATATATCCCAATTTATTATAGGAAAAAAAAGGCGAGAGTTATTTCCTTGTATAACTAGGATTCCCATCTCTCACACTTTCCAGAAGAAGTCAAGATTTATTTCTTTCCAAACAATTGAAAGTTTTAATCAAGAAATATTAAATACTAAAAAACTTATTATTCAATTATAGTAAACCTTTTTAGTATGCCCAAGAAGAAGAAACTAGCGCCGCCAAGGAATAAGATTTTATGAAATTTCAAAATATAAAAAAAAAATGTAAATTCTATTCGGCTAAGACACTATGCTTGTCACCGAACTTTTGAGAAATGCCACTTTAATCGCCAAAATCGTTTTAAAACGGATGGCTACCAAACTTATATCGTATTTCAATTAAGTCACTTTTCGCGTATATGTTATCTTTAAAAAATACTTTTTTAAAAGAAGGTTTTGAAAATAAAAGCAGGAAAACAGGAGTCATATCACAAAATCTTGATAGATTAGGGTACAAGTACGACGCAGGGGATTTTCTAGGGACTATATAGCAAATTTGAAATTTTTTCTCTTTTCATTTGACGCATTAAGCATAAAATGACCATCATCCGCTCACTCCTCACGGGCAAGATGACTATAGCTTATATAGGATAATGGTCCAAAATTTAAGACATCTTTGTGCAAATTCTTTCCTCAATTCAATGAACTTAAGGGTAAGTTCAAACGTACAGTTCTATAATTATGTCTTTTATTTTGGTTTGAGAAACTCGTTCCTCATTGATGAGATTATAAAGTCCAAGAAGAAAAATTATATATCTAAGCCATTAAAATGCTTTTTGATCTCTCTCGATTGCTAACCTAGCTTATTCTCAAGTCTATCATTGCCTACATAGTTTACAAATGAGGCCTGCATTGGGTTATATGACTCCACTTTCATTGAATGGAGAATGAAGATTAATCGAGGTTGTCTCTCTCTACAAAGCTTCCACAAGTTCCTATGCTTCCCTATACTAAACATTCTAAAGTTCAAAATCCTCCCAAACAAGACTCTACACTAATGAGCCTAATTTAACTACGAATCTTTTTCAAACATAAAATATAATTATATTATAAGTAAAAAATAATGAAAATAGGAATTTTATAATAAAAATAAAAATCTAATATATCAGCTTCGTCACTGCTCTCCTCTCTTTCTCTAATATTCTAAAAACTCGTTCAAGAATCTTCAATGGAATGCTATGAACTTGAAGTAGCCACAACGTTAAAAAGGTTCTAGAGTTTTCATAAACCTCCTTGAAGATCCAACATGTGACGATCCCCAAGTTCTGCTTGATTTTTCTTTTTCTAGAGTTTATTTTCGATTTTCTGTTTTCATGGTCTGTTTTAAAATTGCTAGAAATGCATTTGGTTTGTCATTCTACAAAATTGTTTCTCAAAATAGAAAACTACACGTTTGATTTAGAATTTTGGAAAATGGTTTTATGAAACTTTATTCCATTAGCATATAATAATTTTATGTTAATGTTAACATATTATCAAGTATTATATACATTTGAAGTTGGTGAATCTTACAATATTTTTTTCCTATTACAAAAGTAAATAAAAATAAATAATAAACTAAGTTGGCAAAAATAAGAAATAAAATATAATGATATTGACTAAGAATTTTTCGATTATAATGCGTGAAAATTTTGGTTCTCTAATTTGGTCTTTTTAATTTGGAATTCAAATCAATTAGACATGGATATTTTCCTATTAATCCTTTTTGGTTGAGACCTGCTACATTGCCAGCCAGGAACAAGTTTGGTTACTCAAAATAGCCTATTCGTTGGATGCCATTAATTTTAATTACTTTTGGTACAAAATCAAGTATTTCTAGAATAATAACAGTGATACATTATTTCTAAAATTAGTTTCTTTTATAAGTTTTTATATAAAAAATTTCAAATTAAATGCTTCAATAATCCCCAACTTATACCATGGTCATGGAGTACTCACTTCAAAGTTTAAAATGTTTCACAATGTTCGTTGAACTTTGTTTGTTTACACTCCATCCATTATCCGCCAAATTTCGTTCCCCTCATTTGCTGACATGTCAAATGGAAATATCATATGACAAGTTACGATCATTAAAAAAATTAATTCAACAAAACCATCCAAGCAAAATATTTCCTTACTCAGAACTTATACTATGGCCACGATAAACTCATCAAACTTCAAATTGTTTTCCTAACTGTCACTCATCTTTGAGAGTTGCACTCCATTCATCATCCACTAGATTACGTTCCATTCGTTGTTGACATGTCACACGAAAATTTCAATCCCTCCAACTCTCCAAAATCAACACGCGAAACTTGACTTTCACAGCCCCATATCCTTCTTTAAGCCCTTTTTTTCATCCCCATTTTTAACCCACAATTCACTTATCTTATCCACGTAAAACTAAATTGTGTACTGAGACATGGCCGATTGTTGAGAAGAACGTGAGAGAGTGCTACTTAAAAAGGTTGGTGTACTGAGGAAATACACATTGGGCTATGTTCATGTTTCTTGTTATTTGTTGCTCAATTTGATCGGAGTTCAATAAAATTTCCTTCCTAAAATAGTTTGATACACATATGCAAAAATAGAATATTGAGATTAGAGAGATGTCGGACAAATGGTACAATTGAGGGATATAGTTTTATAAGTACTACATTCTTGAATTCTTCTCAATAGTTGACTATATCTCAGTACACAATTTAACTTTACATGAGTGAGATGAGTGGACTGGGATGTTAGGATTTTTTGAGACTGAATTTGGGAACAAACTATTATGGTTTAAAGAAGTTTATGAGGTCACATTTTACATATAGCAATTTGATGAGTTGGATGAATAGTAATTTTTTTTTAACGATCGTAACTTGCCACGTGAAATTTTCGTGCAACATGTCAATAATGAAGGGGACATAATTTGACAGATGATGAATGGATTGCAACTCTAAAAAATAAGTGACTTTTGTGAAGCATTTTGATGTTTAATGAGTTAATCGTGATCGTAGTATACGTTGGGTGAATAATAAAATATTTTACTTAAATGATTTGATTGGATTGTAATTTTTTTAATGGTAGAAATTTATTGTGTGGGATTTTTATTTGACACGAGAGCAATGAGGGAGGCGAAATCTGGAAAATGATGGATGAAGTGTAAATGGACAAAGTTTTAGTGAGTGTTAAAGTAATTTGAAATTTTACTTAGCAAGGGCTGTTTTCACCCAAAAAATTGATTTTTTGACCATTATTTTATTATTTTAGCAGTTATATTTGACTTCTTCTCTCACAAATAGATCTCACTTTTCTCCTAACGATCAAAAAATCAATTTTCAAAATCACTCCCAAACAAACTCTAAATCGTAACTATAACATAAGTCGAAACATTTAATTCAAAAATTGCCTTCTTATTAAATAAATAAATTATTGCCCCACACCTCCGCCCCTGCCTACAAGCTTGAAACCCTAATCCTAATTCTCCCGCTCGCGTGCACCCAACAATGAAGAAGCCGAAGATTATAGCCTCTTCCTCCACGTTCACGCCAATCATTGACCTGAAATCAGTAATCCGATCCCACAGCCAATTCTTCGACCACTTAGTTGAATTGATTCCAGCAAAATTTTACCTCTCAAACGATGATGCAGATTCCAAGCCCTGGTACCAGGGTCTCTCAAAAGCGGCCAAAGCCTCTCTGAAACAACAGTCCAGGGTAAACGTTAAACTCGCCCGCCGCAACCGCCTTGACCCGGAGAACAAGTCATCCTCCTCCACACTCCACCTTCTCCAACAACAGATTAACAAAATGTCAGAGTCTGACCCTGATGAACTGAATCGGAAGGGTAGTTTTGGTGATTTGGAAGAGGATGGTGATGAAGGGGAGATTCGGGGTAAGTCTGTTGATTTGGAGGAGGGAGTTGGGAATGTTAATAGGAACGAGTCTGCTACTTATGAAGAGTTGCGGCAGAGATTGCGGAGAAAGATTGAGTTGTTGCGTGGCAATCGCGGAGAGGGTGGAGGAAAAAAGGTTGATGATAAGAAGGTGAAGAATGATGGAAAGAAAAGGAAAAGGGCTGAGAATGACGGGGAGGAGAGCGGCAAGTCCGGGAATGTGGATGTGAATGAAGGGGAAGATGCGGAGGAGATTATTGAATATGGGAAAGTGAAATTAGGGGGTGAAGAGGAGAGGAAGAAGAAGAAGAAGAAGAAGAAAATGTCGAAGGTGAAGGAATTGGAAAGAGCGAAGAGGTTGCAGGAGGTGAAGAGGGAGAACATGGGTGTGGCTGAGAGGGAGTCATGGAGGGCGGCTACCAGCCGAGCAATGGGGGTGAAGGTGCATGATGATGCACGAATTATCAAGGAGAGCGTGAAGAAGGAGAAGAGGAAGAAGGAGAAGAATGCAGAGAAGTGGAAGGAGAGGGTGGAGTCACAACAGAAGATGAAGAAGGAGAGACAACAAAAGAGGAAAGATAACATCATGGGGAGGATTAAGGAGAAGAAGGCCAGGAAGATTGCCAAGCGCGAGAAGAAGTTGACGAGGCCTGGGTTTGAGGGACGAAAGGTGGGCTACATTACTGCTCAAGATTGAAGGTTTAAGAAGTTAACTTTTTCTCTTATATATCTAAATGAGTGGATTATTTCTACAGTTGTCCTCATATAAGCAGGGAATCCTTATTCCATGCAAGAATTTTGTGGTTTTGAGCATCTAGAAGATAAACTCAAATGTCATGTTGTACTCTGCTGGTTAAATGATTGACTTTTTTTGTCATTGCAATTGGTTCATTTTACAAAGTTGCAGCTATGTATCTTAGTAAAATTTAATTTGAATTTTGAGTAATAGGTGTTGGGGTGCTTTATTTTACCGGATCCGAGAACCGTGTTCATAGCACAATGTGACTGGATGGAGAAATTTAGCTATTTTCTATATTTATAAGACTTCTTGCGAAGTGTTCCCTTTCTCTTACTTTTTGGAGAGCCTAGCCAAAATTCCATGGCAAATAGTTATTGAAATTCTTTTAATGATTTTAAAGTTGCTGAAGTGGTTCTCTATTTTTAGTTTAGATTCAGCCTTAGTGAATATACATTTTAGACCTATACATTGTGCCAGATTTTTTACAAAGTAGTCTGCTCTCTGTCACACCATTGGTAACATGGATTTTGGACATCATGTTTAGATTTCAGCACAAGGAATCACAGAGGTTTTACAGGGGCCCCATGTCAATATTTTATTGAGGTGGGTCCCACTAATGTGTGTATTCTGTGAAATGTGTGTATGTTTTTCCTCCGTAAGTGTAGCACTGCCGCACAAGGAAAATGCTGCTTAATTTTTAGGTTCTCCCTAATCATATAAAAAGGTTGAACTCCAACCTTGAGGGCCCCCATCGCCTCGTCCTTAGAACTTTGTGAGAGAGGTAAATCGCGAGATGTGCTCCAACAGGTCAAGGAACAAGAGCTGCCTTTACACTACTCTTACAAGGAGTTCAATTTCATGTTTCAGGAATTGAACTCCCACACTGCGACTGTCAGTAAGGCGTGAGATAACCTCACTCTTGTCCTTTGCACCACTGGGCTATGCCTCGAGGGACGGTTTTCCCCAATCATATAGTTTAATGTAGTGATGGTATAAAGGTGTTTTTCTACATACATGACATTTTTTATTAAAGGAGCAGAGTATTAACCACTATCTAGATGGTAATGTTGTTTACTAGCAACAAGAAGATGGGTTAGTTCTCTGGTACCTTGCCATCCATTCAAGGCCTATTTAATTAGAACTATTCACTTATTCTCCATGTTGGCTTTAGTCTACAAACTTTAATTGTTTTGTATCAGGTTACCACCATCTCATTGTCAAATACATCTGGCATCTCTTAGATCATAATAAGCCCATGTTTGACAACCGTTATTTCAAAACTCTTTTCCTCGCATACATTTTCAACCACACATTCTAACGATAAAATATTCTTCATAAACATAAAACATTTTCCTATTTTTTAACCACGCAATCTTCAAAAATTTATGATTCAAAAACTCATTCTACTGTCAAACAAATGCATATTTGCCATTACAGTGAGCATGTTATGCTCTTTCGGAAGCCTATTTTTTGGGTATGCATATTTGCCATTACAGTAAACATGTTATGCTCATTCGGAAGCCTATTTTTTGGGAATGTCTTTCAATACGTCTAGCTCTTTTAGAACAAGCCCCTACCTTCTAGAAGACGAAAATAAGTTCTAGGAAACAGATCGTACAAGTGTAATACACGAGATTACTGGGTCATTGCTGGGGTTGGCTTACTGGTTTGTCTACCTTCTCTGATTGGTGTACTCTCTTTTCCGTTCGGCTTAATGCTCATCTCCGGTCTTGCACTTGGCCATGTTTATAGTATGAGAATGGAGAATCTTGTTTCTTTATTGCATTTGAAGTTGGAGGAAGGGGGTGAAGGTAAGGGGAAGGTGAATTAGATAACGAAAGTCCTCGTGTATAATGGAGAGGAAACGAGGAGGGCAATAGCAGAAGAGGATGACCATGAGCAGCCTTCTCGGTCCATCTTTTAATTTTTATATCAAGAGGGTTAGTTAATAACTCAAATGGTCACTGAACTTTGAACTTTGAACTTTGCAAAAAACTTCTAGAGGATCCCTGAAAAATCTTTTGCAAAGTTGAGTAAGCCGTGAAAATCTTTTACGAAGTTTAATGACAAATGGAGTATAAAATTCAATGACACTGTGTAAACCTTTTGCAAAGTTCAATGATGACTTTGGGTGATTTTTAAAGTTCAATGATCCTGTGAAAACTTTTTACAAAGTTCGATGACCATTTGGGTTATCAACCCACAACGTGGATCGATGTTTTTCACTCGAGAGAGAGAGAGAGAGAGAAAATAGAAAAAAATTCATTAAAAAATCGTCAAATTAAGCGACTGACTACATATTTTGGAGGGAAAAGTGGAGAATTTGTATGCCTCTCCACTTTCTTTACCTTCCTCTTTTCTTCTAGTTAAGAAATAAAATCCCTCCCCTCTTTCCATTGTTCGGCTCTTCTTTCATTCATATATTTTTGTCTCTGGAACATAACCAAAAGCCAAGGCCTCAATGATGGCTAATGTCTTCTGGAATTTCATCCTCCATTCTCTGGCATTCTGATTTCTGAAAGATGGGGTGAGAGAGCATTTGTGCAGAAATCAAAAGCAGCTAATACAGCAATGACATTACACAAAAATCAGGTCTGCCTACAATATAAAGCGAAAGTAAGAGAGAGGCATTGATACATTGGAAATACAAAAACACTAACTTGAAAGATTTAAGGAAATGGACATCAACACAATTTTGGCAAAGCAATTTCCTAGTCTACATTACAAAGGTGGTCATGAGGAGCAATGTCTCCTATGATTAACTCTTTTCAGAATGCAAAGCCGCAAACGTTGGCTTAGAGCCTCCAGCTTTTCAAACTTCTCACGCTTGGACTTCTTTGGGTCTGTGGATGCTTTCTTCTTCTTTTCGTCCTTAGGAGAGCTTAATGTGCTTTGTTGAGTATTTCGAAGAGGTGTTGCAAGCACCTTTATAGTCGTCTGGAATTGAATTTGTACATACAAAGTTGCTTATCAGGAAACGATAACTAACAGAATTGAAAGGGAATTAAATGATAGAAAACCTAAATTAGTTAAGCTAAAATTTCTACTTTCTCAAGTTATCAATAGTGCTCAATGGTACTAACTCAACTTTCAATATTTTAATCCAATTTCTTATATTGGTGGGTAACATATTTCTCTGTTCTTGCTCATCCATTAATTACTAGGAGGAGCATACGATCTTTTTCAAGAAAAAACAAATAGAACTTTGCCAAAAAGGAACATAAATATATAACCTGTTTGCAAAAGATTGCTGATCAGCAGTTACACTGATGCATATTTTCCTACAGTGTCTATGCGAGAATGCAAGAGAGAGACAGAGGTGAGATAGAAAGACCTGATCGTAGTCAGTAGCTCTAGTGCAATCCATGGAAGGTTCATCATTGCTTCCCAAAGATGAGCATCTTCCCCAACTCTCTCTATTTGAACTTGTATACGAGCAACACTCTTCATTCTGGGTACTTAGCTTGTCCTGAGACATCAAAATTGGAGCTTCAAGTTCAAAAATCTAGCTAAGTTCAAGTACCAGGTATCCCAATTGGATCGTGCAGTAAATTTAAATACCTGTACAAGTGAAGGGCTATTGCCACTGTGTGTGTTGTCTTCGTTAACCAAAGAATCCTGGAGTAATCAACGCAAAAAGCAGAAGGTATGAAAAATCTTTCTCGTGTTAAATGAATCCAGTTTTAGTTTCAACCATGAAAAGCCATATTTTTCTCACACTGGCAACTAAATAAAGTCGTTATCTTTTGGACAAAGCATTAAGAGCATGTTTTCTAAGCCTAAAACGGTAGTAGTACTTGAAAGTCACTTTTAAGCATATCCAAGCCTTTTACTTACTTTCCGACATAGTATTTTACCCTTTTAAGGCTTAGCTATACATTTAAAAGAAAACACAAAACTTTTGTAGTAAGAAAGGTGAGCTAAAGATGACAAATTTGTATATTTACAGTAGCAACTGGAGCAATGTCAGAAAGGAGTTCCCCCACAGACTTCATTGTTGCAATGCTTGGTGGTATAGAAGATGAGCTTGCTGCATCGGTACTCACATTCCGAAGACCTGCTATGATCTCGTATATAAGATTCTGGAAACAAAACCAATTACTCATCAGCTTATACAAAAGAAACAAGTTCAAAAGGTCAATGAATCAAGTGCAAAAGGCAGGCAGGTTAAGTGTCAAGTCACACAGGTAACAAATTAAGGGCCCGTTTGGTACGAATTTTGAGAATTGATTTTTTGACCGTTAGAGAAAAAGTGGGGTCCACATGTGAGAGAAGAAGTCAAAAATTACGGCTTGAATAGTAAAATAACGGTCAAAAAATCAATTTTTTGGGGCAAAAAATCCCTACCAAACGAGGCCTAATTGTAAAATTAGGTAGCAAGAATGATTATGAAAATAAATAAACAAATAACATGTCGGCATTAAAGAAACATCTCAGGCCTTGCCAAGTACTGAATAATGTCTTAAAACTTTATTCCCCAAGCCAGTTATAGAAAGTACTTGGATTGTCAGCATTATCAATTTTCAACAGCATCGAATTATATAGTAATCAGTTCTATATGTCCATTAGAGTCGCTGCTTATTAGCCATGACAGAAAGTACAAGGAAAGAAACCTTAGTTAATGTGTGCAAATAGGTCCAAACCAAATCTATTCTGTGAACGTTCGTACTCAATGCATTGCTTTTGAGATCATACAGTGAAGATAACAGGAAATCCAAAAGTCAATCATGCAAGAAGTGCACGAAACATATATTATAAGACACTTCATGGCTGTACTGCTGATTTCACTATGAACCGTGACATAGTGGCCAAAATATAACACATTTAAATAATCCTGTAGCATGGTAATACAGCTACTACAGAATGGACAACAATAATGTAAGATCAAACAAGGAATGTGAAATCCATAGCAGCTTAAGCTTTGAGCTTCTGAACACTTTGTATTTTACCAAAGTTATGTCTAAAAAATTCAAACTTTGTGGTTAGAGACTAAAAAGAAAAAAGAAAAAAATCAATGCTCCATTAGCAGGACGCACTCATACAAAATGTTAGTAAAGATTGGTTGGTCTATACTTTGTGAAATAGAACAACTGTGCATATATAATGAAGTGCAGCAAAAATTACCTCACTCCTGCCAGCACTGACCTTCAGGTCTTCCAAATCAAAATATTTCTCAACCATAGTAGGATATGCAGATAGAGGTCGAGGAGGGTGAAGAACATTATAGAGGAAAATTGATACAGAATCATAATAAAACTGAGGTCGAGAAGTATTGTGATCACCATCAAACTTGATAATACTTTTATCACCCTGCACCATCCAGAACTTATTACTTCAAAAATCATAAAATTGTGACCCAAGATCTGTAGAATGTTTCCATACCACATATGACTTAAAGATGGTTTCCGAGTGGCGAAGATTAATAAACTTGTCGTCTTTTGCATGTCCAAATAGAGCTGGAATAAATGTCTTTGGCGCAACCTTAGTTCCATAAAAAATTAAAGCAGCATTAGTACCAAAATGCTAGTTTAAAGCTCCTAACTTGAGCAAGAGAAAAATGATAGAAGAGGTTACAATTTCCAGGCTAAATCTACGATTGCATGAATACGTCTTTATTTAGTTCTCCGGGCGACAATTTCCATGAAGTAGGAAAGTGTGCATCAAGGGACATTCAACATTCTCGAGAATCTAATGGATGAACACGGACCTGTAAGCAGTCGAGGTGATTGATATCAAATTTTGCCTTCTTTCGGATTGCTCGTCGCATGTATTGAACAGCCACCTTAACCTGAACATGAGAGGAGATAAAGAAATTTTATCACTTGATTACATGACAAATATCCATGATTATTAGCAAGCAACTACAAAGACAAAAAAAATAATAATAATAATAATAATAAATAAATAAATAAATAAATAATAATAAATAAAAAATGACTGTTTGCCCCTTCTTGTTGAATATACAAGGGAACTTCCCAAAAAAATAAAGAATATAGGCTTGAATGTGCTGTGTTAATTTATTTGGTATCTTTGACAACCATAGATAATGAAATTTTCATGTGCTAGCATTCTCTTCCTTCCAATTATCCAGAAAAGACTAAAAAAGGATCAGCTAAATTACACCTGAACAGCGGCCATTAGGTTTTACCTAATTTATGATACTACTTGTTTCGGTATCATGATATAGTTTTGTTGTAAAATGAAAGAAAACCAGAAGTAACATTGAGAGGCAGCAGTAGGATGCGTCTTAGATGGAACAGAGCGTGTAGAGATGTTGATGACAAGTGCAATGGCAGGTATTAGTTCATAAGACAATAGAAAAACAAAGAAAAGAGACATCACCGAGAAGGACTGCATCCATATGCACATACACACTAAATATACAGAAAAAATAACAATATAAGATGATTCATACTGTAAACTTTGGAAGCCGGATCTTGTATACATCTGCAAGTTCCATCATGAGATCAAACAAATTTGAGAAGGCACTGTCCAAAACCATTCCAGCTATGGAAGGGTCTTCAGCTCCATAAAGAAGGCTGCATTAGATGAATGATATAATTTATTATATATAATATTTGGGACATAATGGCTTGCCAGAAAATGTTAGGAATATAGAGTTTGCATCTACATCTGGATTTTGAGCACAGCTGGACAGTCTATGAATAACATTTGCACCAAGAACTTGTACATGAGTTGTGTCCTTTCAGATGCATTATTAACAAAATAATTTACCAGCAAAATAAAAAGGAACCAAACAAAAATCTCCAAGAACCATGCAATTATATTCTATTTTAGAAGTTCCATTAACAGACACGATAAAATATTTTCAAAAAATATAATAGTAGTAAAAAAAACGAAAATAGTAGAAAAATTGCAGTGGTGTTGTGCATCTTGGACAATTCAACAGTGCTAACCAAAAAAGATTGCATACCTGGTTACAGCACCCATTGACCTTCCCCAAAGACCTATACGCGAAATTTTTTCGTTGCTTCTCAAATATGAGACCACAACCTTGAGATCATTTTTCTGAAATTCAAGCAAGAAACTTTTGCATGCTTCCTGGACACCACACCTTGGTAAAATGCACAGAAAGAATAGTAAGGAGTATATACCTCGTGCCAACCAAGGCTGACATAATCACCATCAGACAAGCCTGAACCTGAAAAATCAAGAGTGAATACTGTAATATTTGAAGGGAGAAGAACTACAGCAGCCTCATTTGCATCTGCCCGACATCCACTGCAGACATAGCAAGAGCAAAACAATTAGTGAACTATAGATATTCAACCCAGAAATTGCAAAGTTTATTGAACTCTTCCGCTTCCCCTCCTTTTCAGACAATACAGGCATTCATTGCCAAAAAATCCTAGCTTAAAATCCTCTCCCTTAAGTAGAGTTTAAATACAAATGTCATAAATGAAAGGTCAAAATTCTAACAATTTAACATATTTATCGAAGTTTATTTATTGTCACAACTGCTGCATCCACATAAGATGCCACCCAAGGTGAGACTAAAGAAATACATGTGTAGGACTGTACTATGCGCAGCAATGGAATACCTGTTCCCATGGCAGTATACAACACAAGGAAGAGCACTGTCGTCTGGAAATTGAGAAGGAACATAATGACTACACCTCAAGGTATGGCCCCTTTCATTTATTAGCTGCAAAATTTGCATTATTTACTTTCAAAGACTTAAAATATAATCAGAACTGCAAAGAGAATATGCAGTATGTTAGTTCAGATAAAAAGTTTTGTAGAGGATGACCATACTTGCCTCCAGATCTTCTCTTTTGTACTTTCTTCCTGCAAGAGTAAAATTCTTTTCCCACAGACACAGATCTGGGTTATATTCTGCCCTGTTACCAAACAGAGACGGAAAACTTTAAAAAGGGAATAACAATGATGGAAAAATGCTTAGTGGAGCAGAAAGATGTTGCAAATTTAATATTATAAGGAGATTAAAAGTGTGACCGGATAAAGGTATTTATAAACAAACATAAAGAGTTAGATAGGATATGTTATCCGAAGTGATATGTCTCAAAGTGCTGGAGAGACTAAGAATGTTACTGAGGGTATAAAGAAAATAGCGGTCATTATGGCAAAAATATAGAGGAATTTGATATAGTAGTACAGGCACAAACATGTAGCTGAATTAGCAACAAGGTAAACTAAAATTAATGAGTTGAGATTTGTCAAACAATTTGAAATGTTGTAATAGAGGAATATGCTTCCACTATAACCCCAGTCTAAAAATATTGTGAACTAAGATCACAGGCACCGATCATAAAAAGAAATATTTATACAAGTGTATATTATATTTGCTTCAATGTGATACACGATAATAATCTGAAGCTGTAGTTGCCAAAGACAGGACAGAAGCAAATACAACTATATAACTAGATATTTACACACCATTTTTTGAAACAATATTGATTTTAGATTATCCTTTCTAAAACTGATACAAATGTAAAGACTTCAAAAGAACCAAAAAAACATAAAGAAGCTTTGTCATTGCACCATAAGTTCTAATTATTTGAGAAGTCACATATCCAATAGATTTGAAGTCCAAAAATCAATCTGTCAAGGTAATAGGTTCAAAACTTCAAATAGCAAGTTCATATGCAGAAAAGGATGGGAAAAGATGACTTTGTAAACATACTTAAAACCTAGTCCGATTAGGCATGTGGTATCTAAAATATGTGACGGATATTTGCCAGAATTTACTATTCACATTTAATTAAACTTCTTCAGACTTCTATAGAAAACTATAGATACCCATGCAGTTAAATTTAACACTCAAGTAAGAACTTGTCCATGTCAAATAGAGTACACTACTACGCCGCGAACTCAAAAAACTTTTCCTGTGCCAATATTTGTACTCTGATCTTCTACGTGCAGCTCTACATTTCAACATTGTTGCTACTGGATGTTATCAAAGTTCTTATTTAAATATTGCCTTCAACACGCACTTGCATGCAGGGCTCATTTTCTCCATCAACTCTGAAACATGCACAAACTCGTGTATATGGTAGTGAAAATTGAATCCAGGAACCTTGCCAGCTCTAATACCATGTTAAATTATTTGATCTAAAAGCTTAGCCGGTTAGACCTATGCAAGTGATATGGTGCTAATATGACACTCGTTTCAAATGTGATTTTGTTTAGTTCTGCAAGTCAGGACAACTCAGATTATCCATTAATAGAACAGAATAAAAACTCAAAACAGTATTATTGAAAATATTTTAAAAACAAAAACTGACAACAAGTGTCATAGATAAATGTACCTTGGCGGCCGAATGACAAAATTAATAAACTGGTCAATCATTTTAGCTGTAAACTGAAGAAGCCTCTCCCCAAGAGATGTGATTAATTCCCATCCATTGTGGAAATGGAAAATCTGCTGCAGTGTCTTTGTTTGCAGTAGTTGCAGGGAAGGAATTCCAAATGAGATTTATGATAATAAGCCTAAATCCGTCAATGGAACTTAAATTATTGTCCAATCATTGTCACCATATCCTAGAGTCCAAAATCTCAATCTGTAGAAGATCTCACAATGATAACAGTAACGATACCAGCTCCAAGATTAATTTTCAATTTGAAGGAAAAATCTTGGGGTGAATTTCCTACTGTGAAACTGATCACTGATAGCTTAAAATACTTTGCTTCGAGTTTTCTATTCCTTTTCCTCTATACTGTGAAATCTTCTTCAACTTGAGCTCCTTATCTGGACAAAAGCAACAATAAATTATTAAATGGCTGCTACTAATAAAAACATATTACCCATTATAGAAATATATTTTGATAGATCTCATAAGTTAACCTTAACATTTGACTTCTAAAAAATTAGAAAGGAAACAAAGAAACGGTTCGATCTAAATAAGAACAGCCGAAAGACATAACAAAATTAAACAGAAATTCACTCAACAACATATTAGATCCTCCTCAAATATAACTGACTCAAAAATAACCCCCCAAAAAATTTCCAAATTTAATTGAAAAGGCCTAATGGGATTGTTTTGTAAAAATTAAAAAAAAAAAATTGCCTGTCCAGGTTTTGAAGAAATTGCAATTTGAAAGAATTAAAATAAAAATGAGTAGTTTTAGGGAAATCTACGGTGTAAGGAAAAGAAACGGAGAATTTACCTAACAAAGGTAGACGGAGTAGCTGAGTTGTAAGCTGCAGCTGGTAGCTCTGCTGCCATTGCTGTCGTTTCGTTGGTTCCAGAAGTATTAATTATAAAAATGTTGCAGACAGAGGACCACAATTTCCAATAAGTGTAGACCTTCATCCCCATATTGATGTTTTTCATATTTTCGGAGAACTTATTTTCAAACGTACATTTTATAGAATGTATATAGTTTTTTATCAATTTTTCAATCACATATTTCACCAACTTTCATCAAATTTATTAAAATCTAATATTTATCCAAATGAAACAAGGGCTAAGTTCAACATGAGGAAAAATGTTATAAAAGTAATCTCTTAATTTGAAAGATCATTTTCAAGTTAAATGACTTCATCCAATTAAAATTGACCTCAACTCAAAATTTGACATTCGTTGGACCAAGTTGACCTTGTTCCAAAGTTTAGTTTATGCTATACGACTGGAAAAAAAAATGGATTGTCACTGCTTTTGCTATCAATAAAATTTCCAGCAAGCACGAGAAATGAAATCTTTTCTAGTTCTTCCTTGCAAGAATAGAGATGATTCGTCTTGGGTTCACAATCTAGAGAGAAGTATGTCGATTTTAAAAGTTAAAAGGGTGTTTTTGCAAAAGAAAACAAAGGTAAGGGGTGAAACTATAATTCATCTTAAATTTCAGGGTGAACTAAATGATGCAATTAACTTGTGAATATTACAATTTCGCCTCCACCCTTAAAATTTACCGTTTTCTCAACCCCATCAAATTTGAATTTCACTCCCTGTTAATCTAACATGATAAAAAGACAAAAAATAATAATAAATAAATAAATAAAATAAAAATAAGCGAGTGAAAATATAACAGCACATGATTGGTCTTCTTGTTCTCTTTACAACTCGACACTTCCTTTCTGTAAAAAAATAAAATAAAATACTTAATAATTGATTAATATAAAAGACTACTTGTTCCCTTATCAATCAACAAATAATCAGTTGCATACATTCTTGTGTCTAATAAAATGAAATTTATAAGCTCCATGCAGGGAAACAGAGCCAAGATTCAAGAATAGGGGCTAGTATATTTTTTAAACGAATTTCGATCATAAATACGAGGAAATTATAGTTTAATATTAAAAAATATAGTTAGGGGTCGTTTGATTCCAAGAATGAAATTTAGATGAGAAGAAAACAAATTTCAAGTAATTGAACTGTCTAGAACTTATTTTATTGGAAATTGTCAATTAAATGTATTTAATTAGTATATAATTTTCATCTGAAAATGTTGAAATTTAGGATATTTTGGTGTTCGTTTGACTTTGTTTTCAATTAAAATTATCAATTAAAGGAATATAATTTATTACAATTGTGAATATAATTTGTTTTCATTGCCAAATAAAAAAAAATAAAAAAAAGGTGGAAAACCAATTTCCACCAAAACTAAAGGAAACACAATTCTTTAAAAACCTAGAAAAAGGGGTCATGTGGGGGGTTGGGTGGAAAACCAATTTAATGGAAAATTTTGCCCATCAAATATATCAATTGGGTGGAAAATGGAGCCTATCAAACATGCCCCCGACTTATTTTCAATAGGCATATGATTAACACAATTAATTGACTAAACGATGGGGAAAAAAAAAAGTAGCATGAAAGAAATTTGGGAGGACTGAAAACATTAATTAGTAATACCAAGAGCAATGAGTTTAATCGATGAAGAAAAAGAAGAAGTAGAAGAACTAACCAATGAAAAGCAATGATGGGATTCTACAACTTTCACGAGTTCACAAAATTCTATTATTAATTTATTAGATTGGTTATACAACGGAAGAAAAAAATTAGGACTTCACTATTTTTACATCCGTGGTTGACACCCGGGATGACACTCTCCTCACAAGAGAGGGGCTCGCAATTATTTTATTATGTGTGGGCTTCCCTCTCTTGTGAGGAGAGTGTCAACCGGATTGTCAACCCCGGATGTATAAATAGCTTTATTGAAAAAGATGGAATAATGGCTATGGAATCAAGTAAATAGACTATAAAATTAACCAATGAAAAGAAATGATGAGATTCTACAACTTTCACGATAGATTGAGTGCACATGATTCTATTATTAATTTATTAGGTTGGCTATACAACGAAAGAAAAAATTAATGACTATGAAATCAAGTAAATAGACTATAAATGCTCATCACATAGAATCCTAGAGAAATGAGTGCAACAAAAATAAGTTATTATTTTGCTAGCTTTTGGTTGATTGTGACATATTAAGTGGAGTAAAAATTTATTTCAACACGGAATATTAAACAAAATGTCCCATTTGAAGTTGTGTTTCAATATGTGACTTCTGAATGATGGGATTTTAATTAATCAGATACTTAACACAATCAAAAGATAATTAACCAAATATAATTTTAATTTTCACAATGGTGCTTACACGACATATTTACTTTTAATTTATTACTTGTATATAGTCCATTGAACATTGACGTCTATAGGAGTTGAACGTTAGTATTACTAGTAGAACTAATGTTTGAGCCACATTTTAGGAAAAAAATAAATTATTCATATCAAATCAATAGAAAATGTGTGGTTAAAAATTAAGAAAAAATTTTAGATTTGCGTGTAATATTATTTTATTGAAAAATGTGTGATTGAAATGATGTCAAATCACTGTTGAAGAATGTATTTTTTTGAAAATAATGTAACTCAAACAAGCCAAATTGATGAATTGTGCACTTAAATCGTCATATTCAAGTTGAATGACTCCATTGAAATTTTAGCATAAGTTGAATGCCCAAAAGTGTAATTATGTAAAAATATTATAGTTATTCATCAAATCAGCTTCGGACCACGAGTTAACCTGCCTCTTTAGTGCACTGTGAGCTGAAATAATTTTTGGTTAATTAATTAGGCTCGTCAAACTTTTGGGCGAGTCAACTACTTTGGCTGGACTGCAATTTGTTTTGTGTTGGATCCAAGTTTAAATATTGTAATTCTTTTATTATTTTGTTCTTACTAGGCTTCGGCTATAGCCCAGGCCCCCTGCTTAAAGCTCATTAAGAGCCTGTTCGGCTATGATTATGAAAATTGTTTTTTTGATCGTTAGAGAGAAAAGTGAATCCGTGAAGAAGTTAAAAATAATGACTGTAATAGTAAAGTAATAATTAAAAATTTGATTTTTTGAGTTGAAAAATTGCTACCAAACAGGAGCTAAGAAATTTAACTCGAATTAAGAACCTGTTTGAGAGAGTTGGTAAAAAGTCAAAAACTATTTTCGGACCAACTTTTACCCACATATTTCGTCATGCTCACAAATATCACCCACCTATCTACCCATCATTTCTATTTATATATAATTTAAATAGATTATAGACAACTCACAAACATGCTCAACATGCTTGGTAGCAGTCTTTTAGAGGCGAAGACTTGAGTGCACTTCCCTAAGTTCCCTTCACGTAAAGCAATGTCAAGATTGGGAGTCAATACTCGTTCTCCATCCAACAAAAAAGAAAAGGCAAGTTTTCAATGAAGGGCACATGAGCAAACATGGACCGCACATGATTTAAAGTTGTCAATGACTGCGTACCATCTTGATTCATTACATGATAAAGCGTTGATTATTACAACATAAGAAGTTAATTATGCCTTTACAAGTTACAATTTTGTCAAAATTTGGATATATACGAGTCAATTTCGTACCTTTCCGAGTTCAATGATTTGCCACAAATTTTGTTGAGAAGCATAACAGAATTACACTCTGCACAGACAACGTTGATTCAGCACCAAAGCTAAATCAACAGTTAATGATGATGTTATTTCTGTTTCAACATCTTCTCATTCCATCTCTTATCCAAATGATAGGTTTGGTCACAAGTACGGTTTACTTGGTAGGGAAGATATTAACATTTTGATGCCAATTATGATAGAAAGCCAGGAAAGGCGAACCTGCATTTCCTGTACTCCCAGCCATAAATTTAATGTATGCTCTGGTCTGTATGCATGGTCCAAAGCTATGATTATATTTTGGTATACTGAATCGAGTGCTAAAAATCAGTCAGGTTTCACAACAGCCTGGAGCTTCCAACCGCCAAATCCCGCTGCGGAAAATGCCTGAAGATGAAATAAATGACATTAGGTGGGGATAAAAGAGAATCAAAAGGAAACTTTGATTTTGCATTGCTGCTACTAAAGAAACACAGCAACCGTGAAAGATTAAAACAGACCATCAGACTGAGATAAATTATATTGATAATGCCCTTTTAACCAGTTTTCCCATTTCTGTTCGTCAAAAATTCCGAGTCTTGGTTTCAGTTTCCCAGATGCATCAGAACTTCTGCCATCTATTAAATATAATATAATAAGTAGTCCAGCCACTTTACAATCTTCATGATTCCAACTTTGCCCTACGGTCTTCCTCCTAAATATTATCTTCAATCACCCTGAAATGGTGATAAAAAGATCTCCAATTTATCTAGTAGAACACCTTTGCGCCCACATAACTCATCCACCTTCAATAATAGGTATAAGGCAGACCATAAAAATATAGATGGCTTTGTTATAAGGGGGATGAAGAAGGCCAGCCTAGATAACTTCAGTCTGCTGGTACATAGGGAAGTCCAGTACAGGGCTATCCAATGCATTATCACAGCAGCCACAACCAGCAGATTATAAGGTCAAATCAGGGCACTAATATACCATAACCAACATCTTATTATGTTCCACCACCATCAGATTGAAAGAATACTTTGTTGAGATAAATCCATTGCATAACATGTCTCCCATCAAATGGAGTTGTTAAGTGTTGGCAACCGTGTTTAGTGGTTGTATATGCAATGTTGGAGATGGCTGCTGATAGTGGAAGTCTTGTTCCTCACCATACCCAAGCTGAAGGCAGGCATCCAGACATCGAAATCAATGCCACCATAATAATTAGCTTAAACGCAGAAAATAATCTAAGCTACAGGCAGAGTCTTCATTTACTGGAACACTTGCCTACTTCTATTGTCTAGGTTTGGTTTGGGGTTAAGGATCCAATGCATGTCTTGCCAAATTAAACTGGCTCAAAAGTCGGTGCGGGTGGGGCAAGTGGGTTAATACTTATTTACTTTTTAATCTTGATATTTAGATATAAATATTCAGTTAACAAATTGTATTTAAACTTGACAAGAAATAGATCAGTTTGTTAAAATGTTCATTAGGATTTATTTAGCTAATATTTAAATTGGACGCAATATGTTATAAAAAAGACACAACGAACTCATTAGAAAATGATTAAAATATATTATAACTTAAACAAAATATAAAAAGAAAAAAAATAAAAAATAAACAAAAGCCCTTGACAAGCACGTAATATTTACTTTAATAATTTTGAATATTAAATAACTGAGGAAAAATAATTCTTCCATGGAAGTCATATCTAAGACATTTTCATGGTTACAGTTGTGTATTCATCCAGGACAAGTAACAGGGTTTCAGTAGCAAGTCTTTCAGAAGTTTGAGGGAGTTCATAGTTGCTTTCCTGATCACGTGGGGATATTCAGCATTTCGCCCCTTAATTGACGGTCATGGTTTCCACCAGTCTAATTCTCCTACTTATAAGTTAGGTTGTTTTGTACGAGGACAAGGCATAATGTAACTAGAGTCATATTCAGAAAATATTGTGAGCAAGATGCGAGTTATTTGTACAGTGCAAGAGTTTCGATGTGTTATATATCTGCAAAGACTTTCCATGGGGAATAGTTACTATTTTACAAGAGGATATGTCTAGAAACCAGAAGGTAGCACTTTTCTTGCAGCCTAAGAGAAACTTAAATTATTAGTTCATCCTTGTCAGTTTTGAATTTCTTTTTTGAATGAATTGCAAATGAATGTGCCTTAAGACACGTAAAAATAGCTGAATTTTGTACAGTATGGCGCAAAGATAAACTGAAGGATAAAGAATCTTTACCTCTTCCCATGATTTTCCAGCAGCTTCAAGCAGAGCAGCATTGCAAGTTTTCAGTTCTATGGAGGCACCAGATAACACAGAGGCTGCCTCCTCCCAACCCCTATTATGCCCCATACACCTGTACAATTACTCAAAGATCAACACGCTCGGATGATGCATGAATTTCTAAGTTGAACTATTATGGGACCTTCAAGGTTAGGTAAGTTTACACATCAAAAAGAGGCCTTCTGAGAGAAATAATCTTCCTTTTTTATGAAGTTATTCTCTTTATAAAGAAATCAAACTTTGAAAAGAACAGACAAAAGGGTACCATTTTGCATAAATTTGAATGTCCTGTCGAGTGGATATCAAAGAAAAGAGCAGCTCAAAGCTTCAGTCACATTATAGCAGACAACCACCATAACAAGCAAAGGCAATCAATTATAGTTGAAAATCAAATTTTATAATCAACAGTAAGAAGGATATCTATAAAAGAAAAGTACACCGTTTTCATTCTATGCAGATAAAAATTGGCCTTATGTCTCTTACGATCTCAAGAAGCATGATGCACACATAGTACTTCACCTACACTTACAAGGCTACAAACGCCAAAGCAGCTGTATAGTCAGCAGAACTCACATGACCGTAAGTATATCATCCTTTGAGTATTTACAGATAGCCTGCTGAAGATGCTCAGCTGTCTGTCCATCCATTGCTGCGATGGAGTAAAAGCTTGAAATGAAATGAACCTTGGCTTCCAGAAAGCCTAGAACTTGCTCCTGCATAATTTTCAGCGTTTCCCTTGTCCGCCGTGCATCACTACGCAATTCAACAACAGTGAGCAAAAGATCCACAGAACAATATATTCATTTCTCTATTCAACTGTAACCAGAATCCAGAGAAAATCCTAACCTTGAGAGTATTAGTTCAGGAATCCAGCCCAATTGTTGAAGTTTGTGGGAGACTTTGACTGCATCAGCTTGTCCAGATTTACTTAAAGGGCGATCATGGTCTATTCAACGAAAAATGGAATCATAATCACTAGTTAGAATAGAATACTATAGAATGCTTTGCTAGGTAGAATATAACAATGTATTCCTTTTCATTTGGTAAATAATAAACTCTAATACAGCATGAAAAATGAGATATTTCTCAATGAAAGTACCGTAGTGACAATATGAAAATTTAGCCAGCACATAACTACAAATTTGAAGCAGTAAAATTTAATAACGATGGATAATGATGGCTTAGAGCAAAATTATCTCGTGCTAAAGGAAGCAGTATAATACGAGAATAAAACTCAGCAAAAATGAGTGTCAACTAGTGCTTCCGTACATTACCCAGAGTTCCTCCTCTCTAATTTATACGTTATCCACAGTGTACATGAATTAATTCCTCAGCGAGAGCAATTTGAGTTGCAAAGTAAGAGAAACAATACCCCGGAGGGAACGATTTTCCCAGGAACTGTGGGCATGGCGGAGCAATATGAGGCGGCGGGCAACTGGTTCAGCCGGAGTATCAGGCGAGGCCTGGCCTTCCACGGCCTCAATTACAAGAGAATTTCTGGTCGAGGAGGATGATTTTCTTGTGATTCTGGTTGTTAAAAGAGGTACGCGCCGGAATGCGTCGGTGGTAGTGTTGGCGAGGGGCAGTAGAACTCCAGCACCGTTCATCGTGCTCAATTAGCGCTTTGGTTGATCTGATTTTCACTGTATTATTTCGCAATTTTATGTTGTTTATTATAAATGGAACTGGGTTAGAAGGTCGATATTGCAATCTCGACTGTAAAATCGAACCGCAGGTATATTTTTACAGCTCATGAATTACTGAAATAAAATGAGCACATACACATGCCGGACCCTTTTTTAGGTTTTAGAAAAATATTGATTTCATATAAAACTGAGTGGTGAATTTAAAGAAAATAAATATACGGATAAAAGTTATTTGACTTTTAACTAGAGTAATTATCCCTACTATATAAAAAGAAGAATGTGAAGGCACTGTAGAAAGTAATAGTGTCTTGATCCATTTTTATTGTAGCATTTTTTTTTGTTTTTTCAATTGGGGGCCAAAAACGATGCCGTTTGCTTGATATATATTTTATTTTATTATACGCTACCTCCAAATTTACTGCAACACGCAATTTTCATTCCTCCCCCACTCCGATTTAGATATATATAGTAGGGATATAAGAAAAAAATCAATTTTATATAAAAAATAAAAAAAGATAGTGATAATATGCGACAGAATTTTTTTTACAACATATTACTTGTAAATAAGAAATTTGAGGAGAAAAGAATTAAAGAGAATTTTAAATTTAAAAAAAAAATATAACGTAAAACTACACAACAAAAAAAAATTTAATCTCTTCGTACAAGAAAGGAAAAAAAAAAAAAGAAAAAAAAAAGGAAGGACTCCGTGCACGGAGTCCCAAAGGCCCCGTGCACGGAGACCATGCCTCTCCGTGCATGGAGACCAGAAGAGAGGGAAAAAAATATATATATATATATTTGTTTACTTATATATTTGTTTACTTATGTTTTTGTGTTTATTTTCAAGCTCATTACGGGATATCAAACGAAATCGAAATATTACATTCTTAATATCGTTTTGAAGTACTCGCGGCATAGTATTTCAAGTCTTTAACGGTGGGTGAAATGGTCAATCATAGCAAGTGTTATGGGACGTCAAAGTAGGTATTTTCAAGCTATATTTCGAAATTTTCGATAACAAGCTAACTTTAAAAATTCATCGACGATTGTACGATAGTCGAATCGATAAATGTTTTATATTCTCTCGAAACTCATTTTGAGAACTATATCGTAAAGACATCGAATGTTTAAAATAGATATCAAAAATAGTTAAACGACATTAAACGTATGTGTTAAAAAATACGCATTAGTCGTTTTTTCTTTAAAAAATCAATTATTTTATTATTATTTCGAAATTTTCGATAACAAGCTAACTTTAAAAATTCATCGACGATTGTACAATAGTCAAATCAATAAATGTTTTACATTCTATCAAAACTCATTTTGAGAACTATATCGTAGAGATATCAGATGCTCTAAATAAATATCGAAAATAGTTAAACAGAGATTAAACGTATGTGTTAAAAATGCGTATACATCATTTTTTTTTTAAAAATCAATTATTTTATTACTATTTATTCTTTTTTCGCAACAATTTTCTCAATGCATCATTTTGCTCAAAAAAATTATGTGGTATGACGAAATTTTTTTCTCCATGCACGGAGTGAATATGTTTTTTTCATCATTTTATATATTGAATTATTACTAGACATTTAAATTTTATCTCAAACTTATTAAAAAATACTGATTAATAATAAAAAATTTGAAGAAAAAAATTTAAAAGAATTTTAAATTGAAAAAACTGTTATTTATAACATAAAACTATACAGAAAAAAAAATTCTCAAATGTAAGTTTCTGTTTGGAATTATTAAGAGAAAAGAATTATAAATTGAAAAAAAATTATAATGTGAACAACAAAAATTAAAATTATTTTTAATTCTTTTTTCTTCAAATTTTTTATTTAAAAGTAACTTTTTGTAAAATATTTTTTTATTTTTTTATATAAAAATAATTTTTTCTTATATCCTTACTATATATATCTATATAAGAATGGTTGAGCGTAGAGTGGTATATCCCTACTATATATATCTATATAAGAGTGATTAAGCATGGAGTGGTGGGGGTATGGAAATTACGTGTTGTAGCAGTTTCTTATAGTATAATAAAATATTTTAAAGTAAATTTGTTTTATATATTTTATTATTATAAAATTAAATATTATCTGAAATTATTAAAAAATAAAAATACTAATAATATAAGAAAGAAAATATTTTTAAGAGGTAAAAAGTTACTTGTGAGTAAAAAAATTAAAGAGAAAGAAATTAAAAAAGAATTTTAAGTTGAAAAAAGAAAAATTATTTATAATGCAAATCAAAACTAAGTTTCTGTTTAGAATTATTAAGAGAAAAAAATTTTAAATTGAAAAAAGATTTATAATGTAAACAACACAAATATTTAAAAAAATAAAAAATAGTTAAACGGACATTAAACGTATGTGTTAAAAAATACGTATAAATCGTTTTTTCTTAAAAAAATCAATTATTTTATTACTAATTCGAAATTTTCGATAACAAGTTAATTTTAAAAATTTGTCGACGATTGTACGAATCATAAATGTTTTACATTCTCTCGAAATTCATTTTGAGAACTATATCGTAGAGACATCGAATGATCTAAATAAATATCGAAAATAGTTAAACGGACATTTAATGTATGTGTTAAAAAATGTGTATAAGTCGTTTTTCTTAAAAAAATTAATTTTTTTTATTACTATTTATTATTTTTTCGCAACATTTTTCTCAATATATCATTTTGCTCCAAAAAAATTATGTGGTATGACGTAAATTTTTTTTAATTATTTAAAATTTCATTTTTTTCGAAGTGGGGAGTAAAAATGACGCGTTCCTCCGTGCATAGAGTGCATGGATATTTTTTTTTACATTATTATAGATATAAAAAACAAAAAAAAACTATATCATCGTAGTTGGATATATCTAATAATTTTAGACAATATTTAATTTTATAGTAATATTGAATTTTTTAAATTAAATTTATCTAAATATTACTTTAGATTAAATATTAAGTCAAAGTTTTAAGTATATTTCTTTACATAGTAAAAAGTAAAAAAATTAAAAATTAAAAAAACTAAAAATTTAAAAAAAAAAATATATATATATATAAGGTATTAGCTTTTATTTAAAAAAGAAGAAAAAAATAGAACGCCCAAAGACTCCGTGCACGGAGACCTTGGTCTCCTTGCACTCCAGGTCTCCGTGCATAGAGAGAGAAATGAATATTTTTTTTTACTTATATTTTTGTATTCATTTTCAGGCTCATTAAGGGATATCAAACGAAATTGAAATATACATTCTTAATATCGTTTTGAAGTACTCGTGGCATCGTATTGCACGCAATTAACAGTGTGTGAAACGGTCAATCATAGCAAATGTTACGGGATGTCAAAGTAGGCATTTTCAAATTATATTTCGAAATTTTCGATAACAAGCTAACTTTAAAAATTCATCGACGATTATACGATAGTCGAATCGATAAATGTTTTACATTCAATTGAGACTCATTTTGAAAACTATATCGTAGAGACATCGAATGATATAAATAGATATGAAAAATAGTTAAACGGATATTAAACGTATGTCTTAAAAAATACGCATAAGTCGTTTTTCTTAAAAAAATCAATTATTTTATTACTATTTCGAAATTTTCGATAACAAGCTAATTTTAAAAATTTATCGACGATTGTACAATAGTCGAATTGATAAATATTTTGCATTCTCTCGAAACTCATTTTGAGAACTATATCGTAGAGACATCAAATGATCTAAATAAATATCGAAAATAATTAAACGGAGATTAAACGTATGTGTTAACAAATGCGTTTTTTCTTTAAAAAATTAATTATTTTTTCTTTTTAATTCTTTTCTCTTCCAAATAAAACATAATTTTTCAGTTTTAACGAAAAAGTTATTTGTAGATTAAAAAATTTCAAGAGAAAAGAATTAAAAAAATTATATATAGTGTGTTCTCCGTGCACAAAGGATTATTCAAAAAAAAAATTTGGTACTTTTCTGTTCTCTATTTTCATACGCTATGGCCGCGCCTTTTCGAATCAAATCATTTGCTTATATTATTATATTATATATATAGTGTAAAAGAGGCAATGTGAATCTATGTAACACACAACTTTCCATACCTCCCGTCTTACTCTGTGCTGACCACTTTTATAAGTAAAAAAAAAAAATCACTTTTAGTAAAAAAAAAAATTAAAAATAAACATATTAATAAAAAATATTTCTAATATATGTAAAAATTACTTATATAAGTAAAAAAATTTGTTTAAAATTATTTAGAAGTAAAAAATAAAATAAAGTTATGAAAATTAAATGAAAAATATATAAATATTATTTAATTAAAATTGAAAATTTTACTTTATAAATAATTGGTTTTTTTATCAATTTATTTAAATTTCTTTTTAATTCTTTTCTCTTTCAAATAAAATTTATGTTAATTTTTTTTAAATTTTTTTGCCCTACCAACTTGGAGTGACTATTGTATCGTCCGAAAAATAGGCTTGCTGTTAAGGTTCTAATTCTTACACCAACAAGGGAGTTGGCCATCCAATAAATGCCACTTCAAGTTATTTTACGTGCAAACATGAGTTTGTTATTTAAATGTTTGTGTATGTGGATATTCTCTTTCAATTTACAACTGCATGTGTTATTTTTGAACTACAAGTATAGCCTTTCGAATCGAAGTTGCTAAAGAAAAGTATTTTGCAAAATTCAATTTACAACTTATTTGCAATATCAGAATAAAAAAAATATCTTCATCTACATTAAACAAAAAAATACAATAAATAATTAAAAATAAATTATCGTTGACATATATACAATCACAACATTTATTATACTTATTTATAAGAATAAAAATAAATTATTATGACATAAAATATACAGTCGACCAAAAGATGAGAATCAAACAAACATTTCTTATTTCCAAATACTTTTTGTACAATCTATAAATTTTACGCTAATAAAATCAAAATAAATACAAAATTCGTAAAACTCACGAGACGCAAACTAGTCAAACATGTAAATTACGAATTTTACTTATATTTCTTTATGTTAAATTAAAAGGAATATTTGTTTCATTTTTCAGCAATTATTGAAAATGTTGATATAACTAATGCTTAAATGTAACGTCAGAATTTATCAATATATTCTTTTTATAATCTCATTCGACGAGAACATATATAACTAGTTGTGTGTTTAAACGTAATTCTTCGAGCCTCATTCTTTAAATTTCTTTCTCGGATTTATTTTTAATTAGAAATTATCTCAATAAAATAAGTTTATGTGTAAATCTAAAATTATTTCTTACTTTTTAAACTCACATTCTCTAATAAAATCTCAAAACGACATGGCTCATTCATCCTCTCAAATTTTTAGCACTTGAAGAATCAGGCATATAGTATCATAATTGTAAAGATACACTACCGACTTACAAGATTTTTTCAAGAAATTGGTGTGATTTCTTGTTGCTAAAATTCCAGAATTTTTTGGAATTTACGTCAAACCTCATCTTTATATGTTTGCTGACATATTGGAGTATATTTTAGAAATGAATAATGCCCTGAGTACAGGGCACTATTTATATAGGGGCCTTACAGGCCCCTCACTGTAGAGAGCAGGTCGATGGGTCCAACCTGTATTTAAAAAAAAAAAAAAAATCGCATGGGCTCCACCCCTTCTGTTTGTCCTAGCAGAGGCTCACAGGCCTCTGCCCCGCTCGTTAATGCTTCTCGAATATGAAGCACTTGTTAGGAAAAAATACAATATGAAATTAAAAATATTGCTGGAGTAATATAAAATAATGGAATGAAACATATAGTAAATAGAGTAATAATAAAATAGAAGAAATGTGGTTGTTGATCTCCCGCCCCCCCCTTCTCCAACATTGTAGTGTATAAACGATTGAAAATAACTGAGTAGCATCTCGTCACTACTTTAAATGACTCTCGGGATGCTCATTTTAATCACCGAGCTAAAAAATAATTATCTAAACTATAAAAAACAAAACTCTTGAAAACAAAAGGAGAAGAGAGAAAATTAGAGGGGAGAAGAGAGCCCTCAAAGTTTGACGTGTGTAATGAGAAGGAGGATACCTCCTTATATGATACTAGGATAAGAAAGAGTTTCAATTCTCCATTAATTTGTATTAACATAAAAATGTCACAATAGCCATTAAGGTTTTGTAACCACAATTCAATTAGAAAAATTATCTAGGAAATTGAAACATATTACATTGGTTGTTATAATTGTCATTCACTTCATTTTATATTTGAATTTTCTCCAACAGCACTGCCATACTTGAAAATTCCTCCACCGCCATGAACCCCTTCCTATATGTGTTTGATAGATAAAAAGAGAAAGAGTGATAAGAGAGGAAAGCACACAGCTGTGTGTATGTTTGTGGAGTGAGGATTTTATTGTATATTACTAGTGTCCTTTGTGAGTGTATCCAAAATTCTTTAAGTTTATTTCATTAATAACATTCTATTTTGCTTTGTTTTCAAATTCAACACACTGCATTTGCATTGAACCGTTTTCTTTCTCTTTTTGTTGGTAGACAAGGAATGTGCTGTCGAGCAGAGATTTAAAAGCAAAATTGAGTTGTTGTGGGCATTCCAAGAGAGCTCCCAAATCTTTTGTTTCATGTTTGTCCATAAAAGAATTTGTGCTTGATTTTATGTCACACCATTGGTTGTTTTTCTATTATACAAGGTCAAATGAGTTTACTGATCTTGCTGCGATCTTCTTATATGGTTTTTCTCTTGGACTTGTTATAGTGGGATTGTTGATATACAATCATCGTATTTAAAGCGTGGGTAGTTAAGTATCTAATTGTGGTTCTTTAGATCGATCACAAATTCTTGACCCTATCCTTGGCTTTGATGTGGGCCCAAATTTATAACTTCTAGATAAAATATTAATGTGTGCATCTTGATAGACAACTTACGTGCATTGCATGTCCTTCAACTAGTATATTTGGAGTCTTCCTTCACACCGCCAAGTTCGCTTCTCCGTTAATCTAACACGTGAATGCATAGATGTCCTCTAAAACAAAAGAAAGTTCAATAATTAATTTGTTGTAGAAAGAAATTAGGTGATTAGAGTACAACGATATCGTTAGGTCCAACAACATTTTTAACTCATGTTTTTTACGTTTTTCTATTTATGAATTAAAATTTTTACTGAAGCATCTCTCAACTTACTTTTGAGCCCAACGTGACACAACTTCACCCACCGCAACTCATAAACAACTAGTTGACACGATGAGACAACTTGTCATTAACATTAACCAGTTTTTTGAGTTAAAAACAAGAGTTTACATAAAGTGATTGTCTGATTGATGAGCTTATAAATCAACGTGCTACAAAGATAAGTTGCCTAACTAGAAGGTCTCGAGTTGAGTTATGAAAAGGTTTTGCCTAGAAAATTGGAATTAATATTGAGCAAATGAGGTTTTCAGAGTTGGCATGGGACAAAGTTCCCATAATGCTTCAATATTTAACAATCCATGATCATATGCAAATCATGTTAATACCCCCTTTTTTTGTAATAGAAGTTTTCAAAATGCTAAAATTTATTATCGATTGTTGGGAAATTATCCCAATACTTATTGAAATGACTATCTACGTCCGTTATTACGCCTATTTTCACTTACTTTAACCCTACTATTTTCACTGGAAAGTGTGTTCAAATTTGTTCATTTAAATTTATTTCTCCTTTTCTCTTTACATTTCAATTTCTTTTTTTTTCTTGATTTGATTTTATTTGAATTTATAATTTTTTATTATTTTCAAATTTGTTCCTCTTTTTACCCCTTTACAGATCGTTTTTGAATTATTGTTTTGCAGTCTATCGCTCTTTGATATTTATATGGCATTGAATTTAAAACCTAATCTCAATTCCCAGCGTGGAAGAGCAACCCAATATAGAAGTAGCAATCCTGTAGGAGAACAAGAGCGGGCAAATCCCTACTATTTCATTTTTTTCAACCACCGCCTGCCCTCCCAAATTACCGCCGGATAAGTAAATTTACATCGCCGTTGAATTGAGGGATAGATACACGAATCAGAATCTGTTTCTTGGGATATTTACCGCAATTGAATTTGCAATACAGAAAATGAGGGATAGATATTTCACAATTTTGTATCCACTTCTCGACGGATAACCTTCGAAAAATTAATCGGATGTGCAGATATCGCGCTTCAGATTTCCTATTTTCGTTCAACAATTGGATGTATCAGTAAAATAATAAATATATAGAGAGGTGGGAATTAAAGGTTAGTATCAGAGTTTTCATCTTTATATTCACAATTTATGATTATTCATTTACGGTTTCGTGTCCTTTCTTGTTAATTTGTCTATTTTTGCGTCTAGGGTTTCGTCAATGTGCATTTATTTTTTCTGTTCTTTTTCCTTACCCACTTCATATGGACTATATCTGTAATAAATAAATTCGAATTGATACAAATTTCCTCTTTTAATTTTCTACTAACTGATATGTATGGATATATTATATGCTAGCGAGTTTCCTTGAATGCTCCCTTAATTGGGATTTAAAACTCAAAACCTAATCCTGTGCCTCTTGTGCACTGAAATACTTGGGTTTTATTATATATGATACCACATTGCTTTTTGCTGCAGCCAACGAGCGAGTGAAATCGAAATAAAGAAATGTCCTTCCAAGAAGAAGAAATGGACTATGCTGCTGGCGATTATGAGATGGGAGAAGTAGATGAGAATATGTATTTCACTGGTCGTATAATGGGAGACACGGAGTCTGACGAGGAAGATGAGGATGAATACGACCATTTGGTCTGTTCAGTCTATGCGTACAAGTTTGCATATTTGCATTCAGCCCTTGATTTATTACTTCTAGATTTATTTGTTAGTTTTTGTCTTTGGCTTTGCCAGTGGTTATAGGAATTAACTGATTTATGTGATTAGGACAATAAGATTACGGATACATCTGCTGCTGAGGCTAGGAGAGGAAAGGATATTCAAGGAATTCCATGGGAAAGGCTAAGCATTTCCAGGGAGAAGTATAGGCAGACTAGACTAGAACGGTATAAGAATTATGAAAATATACCCCAATCTGGAGAGGGCTCAGAGAAGGTAACTTTCAGTTTTACATGGTAACAGTCTGCCACCTTAAGTTTTTTTCTTCTCTTAAATGATGTATTGTAACAACTACTTCTGACTCATTTTTTCAGGAATGCAAGCCAACTAGGAAAGGTGGAGTTTTTTATGAGTTCTGGCAGAACACAAGATCTGTGAAATCAACTATCTTGCATTTTCAAGTAAGATGAGGTCCTTTGAAATGCTTCAATTGACTTGTTGGTTTTGAATTCACTCCTAATATCAGTTGCAAGTAGGATTTTAGCTTGTCTACATACAATTTCTATAAATTTATTCACGAATTACTTTTGGCTTTAATTGCAGTAAAATGCCTTGCTCAAAGAGCTGTATAAGTATATGATCAAACATAGCAGGATAGGCTTTTTTTTTTTTGTTGGGGGGGGGGGGGGGGGGACTTTGCATTGATCTGTGTCGTGAAACAATTGAGTCATGGTTTATGTTGATAGAAGAACTGAATGTTTGATTGACATCTTGAAGGCAATTGAATGTAGTATAGGCTAGGCGTTCTTAAGGGAAGTTATTAACTTATTGGCAGACCTGAGGTATGAATATGCTGGAAGAGTGAGTGATTATGAGTCCAGCTGGGAGGTTTTTTACTATCCACAATGTTTCTTTATTGTTACTCTTATATTACCCGTGCGCACAGGTGATGAGGGTGTGGGCACATAGAGAATGTGCTACTAATATCAAATTGATCTTAGAAATGCGTGCTGTCATATTTTCACATGATGCTATAGTACCTTGTGAAACCTGGAGGTCCAGTTTAAGTTAATATGCTGGAATATGATACCAGTTATGCTAAGGATGAATAGTCCAAGATTAGAATCATGTGATGATTTATTTGCACACTATTTGGTGAAATAGACTTAAATATTGGACTTCTTCTAATATCAATTTAGATTATAGTATGGTGGGATTTTTGTCTTAGAAGAGTTTCATGAATGTAATTGTGTTTATTCTTTTGACATTGAAGCATATATGCGTTGGATTAGACTTTTTCTTATTCATAATTATGTCTGACATTGCAGTTGAGGAACTTGGTTTGCTCTACGTCGAAGCACGATGTTTATCTCATGTCACATTACTCTATCATTCACTGGTCTTCATTAAGTTCCAAGAAGACAGAAGTTCTTAATGTCTCTGGCCATGTAGCACCGTGCGAGGTGCATATTTCTCATGAGGATTGGCTTTCAGTCATTTTGGTTCATGAGTTTGATGGTTCTTCTCTGGCAATGATAATATATGGAGTTTGGGATCTGGACTTACTTTCTTTTTCTGACAGAAACACCCAGGAAGTTTACTGGAGGGATTTACTCAGACGCAAGTTAGTACTCTGGCAGTGCGCGACAATTTATTGATTGCTGGGGGATTTCAAGGGGAGATTATTTGTAAGGTAATTCTATCTCTTGAAGTATACTTTATCTGCAGTATCTGTTCTCATTTCTCAAATATGGTGTATCATGGGAAACGACGTGTATAACATGACTTTTAGCATGTATCACTTTCTCTATTTGAAGTCTCTCATTTTCATATGATAAGTTTTAATTTTCTAGGTGTCTGTCTTTCTTCATTTGCAACCTTAATATATAAAAAGAAAGATAACTTTTTTTCTTTTCTCTGATAGGCGGAAGTGATAATCACGGACTTATATGTTTATGGACTGAAGTATTTCATGTTTAATGCAGTATCTGGACCGACCTGGGGTTACCTTTTGTACCAGGACAACTTATGATGACAATGCAATCACAAATGCAATTGAAATCTATGACAGTCCTAGGTTAATCTCATTCTCCTATTTAATGCCGACCCACCCCCTTTACATCTATCTTTAAATTTATACTGGGACTAATTGGCTTTAAATCACTATCAGTGGCGCTGTTCATTTCATGGCTACAAATAATGATTGTGGAGTACGAGTCTTTGATATGGAGAGATTTCAGCTTATCAAGCACTTCTCTTATCCTTGGCCTGTAAATGTAAGTTCAGTTTCTTTTCACTTGTGTATACCTACATTTGATGTACTAAAGAGTTATTAACTAATGTTTTCTTGGAAAGTACAAATGTAACAAGAAATCTAGAAACTGCATACAAATGTGTGTTTTATTCCTTTTTTCCAATTTGTAGGTTTTCTGCTGCAGTATCNTTATTTCCGTGCTTTGTGTATATAACCAAAAAAACATTGGACTGATGGTCTAAATATTGAGCCATATTACTGTTCTAACTTTGATAAAGATCGATTTATTCGTGTCTGTTGATGGTATTATTGAACTTACTGCTGTGCGAGTGTTATGGATGCTGATCTTCTGCTGCAATGAATCTCATAGTTAGTGCTGTTAGAGTTGATAGCTTGGAGATGATTAACAAGACTTGGGCTTATTTTGTTTTGACACGAGATTATGTATGCCTTGTATAATGTGCCCAGTGGCATATGTCCCAGCAAGTTTAAATGGATAAGCTTTATATTTGAAATTATTTATTAGCTGTGTATATTAATTTTTACCCCTCCATTTTAAGAGGTAATGACGATCATACTTTCTGTGTGGTTATAGTGCAGATTGATTTTTTTCCCACTTTGAAGTATATAAGGATACGGCATTCTGTGTGTTTATATTGCATGTCCATTTTGATTGGATATAACGATCATGCTTTTGGTTTGTTTATAGCACACCTCTCTGAGTCCAGATGGCAAAGTGGTCGTTATTGTTGGAGACAGCCCTGATGGAATGCTGGTGGATTCTCAAACAGGGAAGGTAGTATCGCTGATGTTAGATTTATGAAACTAATTGGACTGTGGAAAGATCTGATGTAAAATTTTGGACCAAGTAGCTAACGGGCTAGGAACTTTTTCACTTATTGACTCTTTTTTTTATTTTAGACTGTCACGCACCTACGAGGACACTTGGATTTCTCTTTTGCTTCTGCATGGCATCCAAATGGTCACATCTTTGCCACTGGAAACCAGGACAAGACTTGCCGTATATGGGATATTCGGAACGTTTCAAAGCCAGTTGATGTACTAAAAGGAAATCTAGGTGCTATTCGATCAATCCGTTTCACATCTGATGGGCAATTCATGGCGATGGCTGAGCCAGCTGATTTTGTTCATGTCTACGATGTGAAGAATGGTTTTGAGAAAGAACAAGAGATTGATTTTTTTGGCGAGATCTCTGGACTTTCTTTCAGTCCTGATACAGATTCCCTCTTTATCGGAGTGTGGGATCGCACTTATGGTAGCCTTTTTCAGTACAACCGATGCAGGAACTACTCATATCTAGACAGTCTAATGTGAATATCATTTGATTTGTTTGCTTACATTGTTGGAGCAAAACTTTCTCATAGAATGACACTGGTGAAATATCTCGTGTCACATTCTCAAGAAAGGAGCCTGAAGGGTGGCTCACTTACAGAATAAGACTGTTGTCTCCTCAATTAATGCCTACTGGTGTTGCATAATGAAGCTTGGATTGCATCTTGGTACAGCCACTAATGAAATTTTCATCTCAGCCCAAGGCAAACTTCGTTCATGGAAATGTCACTTCATTGGCAATTGATGTGTGTGTCGAAATTTCTACTGTGTCGTTAAATTTCTGGAATTGATTGGGAATTGACTGCTTGCTACTAATGTAATACTCAAATGAAAAATCTTTTAGTTTGGTATGAAACTACACATTTGATGATTTTGCAAAGTTGGAGAAATTATATGAAAGATGCTTGAAAGTTGTTAATCTGTAAGTTGCTCAATAGCGTAATTCATTCGAGATGTTAGGGGAATGTGTTTGTTATTAGCTCATGCTGGCTAAAATACTGTCCGAAATCTTGCATTAGCCTAATATACTACAGCATGTGAGCTCCCAGGCCCCATTTTGGCAAAATCAGGCACCTTTTGTTTCAAAAGGGAGTTGCAGATTTTGTTCTGAATTGTAGGTATGTTAGGTGGAGATCAATTTTAAGTAGATTTTGCACTAATATGATTGCGAGACCAAGCGTGACTGATAATAATCATATGAATCTCTTGGTCGGAATTTTGACGCAGCATAATCACTGTGTGCTACTCGATATATCCCTGTTTATAATTATCTAGGAAAGAACAAGATTCTATATAGGGGAAAAAAACTCCCAAAGCTCGTTGTCTAGGCAGATCACCTGTGGGCATCACCCTAGCCTTGCAAACTGTGATTAAACAGGAAACAATATATTTTTCTCTACTTACTTAAAATTTTAATCTTGCAGTCTTCTTCTGTTTGGTTCTCCAATTCATTATTATCCTGCAGATAGTTTAAAATGCTTTCTTCTTCTGCTTCTAGCTGCTGCATACACTCTTCAAAAGCTGCCACTACTTCTGGACTAAACACTGAATCATTTGGATCTTCTCTTCTCACAGGATTTACTATGTTATAGCTGCCAAATTTTGGAGTAACGTAAGTTCCAGGAGAATAAACTTGCCCCTCTACATGGAACCATTGCTTAAGCCTTGCAATGGCAGGAAACTCGACTGGAGACATGTCAAGTGATCTGAGTCCTTGTGCAACAGCCTTCCTTTTCCAACCAGTCTCGCGCTCAGCTCCTTCTTGAAATAAATTCTCAAATTCATCTGATTTTTTCGAACTAGAACTCGGATGCTCCGAGTCAGATTTGTTCTTCATAAAATCTTTAGCATTTCCATGATTGTTGCCATCATTGCAATCTTCATCCATAGATTTAGATGTGTGTGCATTCTCATCCAGTGAAGACTCATTATCTTGAAAGGATTCTCCATCTCTTGTGCTGGACATATAAATTCTCTTTAGTAGGGCATCGTATTCCTCAACCGTGTGAAAGCTTCTAGAGCCTCCGGTATTCTTATCTCTCCAATCTAATTTATTTTCACTGAGCCCCTCAATCTGAGGATCTTGCATGGAAAATTCTTTATCCAGTATCATCTGACAGCTTTTCGACCTTGACAATCTCCCAAAATCACTCATTCGAATAGCATGTCGGGGAAGTAAAGAGTTTTCAGCATCTGCTTTTACTTTGGCAATATCAGAAGTCTCATTAGCAGTTTTGGGATCTCTGTTTATAACTTCATTTGTAGTGTGTGCAGAATAAACAAAGGCAAGAACCTGGTCGTTGGTATTGTGGGAAGTTAACAATTCTTCCCACACGGGAATGGATTTGGATGTTCTTTGAAATCCATAATTCAACTCTTCTTGAAAGCTTAATGATCGAGTGACTGCTTTCGAAGGTAAACATCCCATTGTACGACTGCCTTACCTTGTGTTGGTAGATGGAATTGATCAGAACCTCGACAGGATCAGCGATTGGCCACGTCGTTTACAAAGCTGAGATTAGACTGCATTATCTGTATAGAGGGAAAATGGTGAAACCAATATCTGGGAGTATAAATCCACAAAAATTTATAAATTTGTTAGGTAAAAACAAACCTTATGATTTGAATTCAGCTACTGGTATAAGTTTTTTTTGGACGGTATTCGGAATTTTTGGTGCCTCAGGAATACCTTTGACCTTTAAAGTCCCCTGAAACATGCATATCTGGTGAGAAATAGGGAGACAAGATTAGTTTATGGTGGTTTAAAAATTCAGCAGAAAGCAAAACTTTTTCGTTTTTAATGATTCTTCGAATTTTACACTGGGCTCAATGCTGTGCCCATCGATGCATCTTTCTTATGATTAATTCAAACAACTCGATCTTCACATGAATCAACTAAAAGTTTTTCTCTTCATTTTACTCTAGGTACAAAATGAGAGACAGAAAAGTTTAGGATGATGATTATTTTCATGCCTTTTCTGGTTTGATTCCTTTACAGGATTACCCAACAGAGCTTCTCAGATTATTTTTCCTTATTTGATCTGGTTTATTGTTAGATCTACTAGACTACGAGAAAGACAAAACACGTACAAGTTTAGATGATTCAGAAACTATCTGCTAGCATACCTGCTAATTGGCTATTGAAAATGCTTGCTTGTAATAGAAGGAAGCTAGCAATGGAAGAAATGAGAGTCCATTGCAACTAATATGGCAGATATATGAATGCAGCAAACACCAGTGGAGTCAATTTCTTGGTATCTTTTGCTTGAGAGATGGTGGTCAAGACCTCGAAATGGTTAGATGTTCAATGAACAAATTATAATTCTACGTGTTTTTCGAAGACTTACAATAAAGGCTGTGGGGAATGGGCTGTGCTATTGTAACAGGGACCGTCACGGCCCCTGTTTGAGTATCAGAACTCGTAGGGAAGAGTTAAGAGATATCCACCTAGATTCTGCAAAAAGTTTTCAACTTTTGAGACAGATTATTTTGGAATTTTAGGGGCATTTTTAAGAATGTTTAATTTTAAAGGTATGAGTTGAAAAGTGTCCACTTATTTGAATTTAGTGTCAATTTATCTATTATGCCCTAAATGAAAAGCTACATTTTGAAATGATATTTTTGACATTTTAAATGTCGTTCTCGACATTTGATATTTTTATCAATTTGTCACGAATTTTGATAAGTGACTTCCATGAAAGTTACATTAAAATAATATTTCTCGACATTTTATATGTCATTCTCGACATTTGAATACCGTTTCATTTGTCTATAATAACATTTCATTTTGAACATGACGTTTCTCTACATTTAAAAATGTCGTTCTCAACATTTCTGAATCAATGAAAAATATAGCATTTATTGTGATTTGACATGTATACTTTTTGAAATAAATATGGCAGGTTACGTGTCAAAATTTTATTGACCAGTAACAATATTGCAAAATGTCCATTTTTTTGTTTTAGTCTGGAATTATAAATTGTTAATAAGGATATTTTGGTTTAAATTTTTTCAAATTAGATATTTTTGCAATGATGGATATTTTTACAAATGATTAGATAAAAATGGACATTTTGTGAAATTTCTTCTTATATTTCTTTTGATTGTTAAATATTTCTCAAAAAGCTAATCATGCCTTAGCATTTCACCTTTTTCGTATTACCTGAATGCAATGTACTCGATTCATCATAAAGAAGAAAAAAATAAATGAAAACAAAGTTGATAACGTTCATTAGATGTAAATGATGATCCCAAAAGTCAATAATGTTGACAAATGAAGCCAATAGGGCCCATATTTGCCCCCTTTTGACTTTTTCGAAACTTCGTGATTTGGAGCTCCTATGAAGTTGTTTTGGTTTTTGTTAAATCTTGTAATTGTTAATAATTTGTGACTAACAATGTTTGACTAAATACAACAGTTAAGAAATAGCACTTGGTATTGTCAAAAATAGTACATGAGGTTACACGCAGAGCCGTACCTCCTAGGGATGGCAACAGGGGCAGGGTGGGGCCTATCCCACCAAACCACACCCCGTGCCTCGCGAGACAATTTTTTGACTCGTTTGTTGCTTTGTTTAATTTTTCATTTCTTATATATTTTTATTTTTTTTATATTTTCAAAATTTTGAGTTATGTCATTATTAGAGAATAAAATATAAATTTAAAATGAATTTTTAACAAATGAATTATCTAAAAATAAAATTATTTTTAATCTTTTTTTTATCCCCTTCACGGGATGGGTTCAGGGTGGGGCATCCTCGCCCCATGCTGCCCCATGCCCTACCCTACCCTGCCAACCCGTTCCAGGCGGGTTTATTTGCCCCATTTGGGGCCGTGCCTCATTGGAACAGGGCAAGGTGAGTTTTTTCGCTATCACTAATACCTATGTTTTGCAGGCTTGATGTGAACTAAATCATTTCAAGCAATCAATTTTATTTTTCGTTTATTAAAATTTTACGAAACTAAATTTATTAACTTAAAATAACAATAAAACAACAAATAAAATAAAATATTCAAAATATTTATATTACAATCAAATGGTTATGCGAAAATGTTATAAACAATCACTTAAATACAACTTGTCTTGCAATTTTAAAGGCAAAGTTATCAAATAATTTTAAATAACTGAATTGTTCAACAATTTCTTTTTCAATGGATAACATAGTCAATCCATTTAATCTTTGTGGTCATATAGTTGATCGGAAATAAGTCTTAATCAATTTTAACTTGGAAAAACTTCTTTTTGCTAATGCAACTATAACCAATATGGCTAGCAAAATCTCGTAAGAAATGCAAGCATTCGAAAAATAGCTATTTATTTTCTTCAAGTAATGTAGCACATTAATTGTTCTTTTTATTTCTTTAGGTAAAACACACTTCAAGACTGTCAACTTCTAGCATAAGTTATCGTCAATAATATCTAAATATCCATTTTGCTTCAAATATTGTCAAAGATTTTCACAAGATTTCAACAAGCCGTCAACATGCATACTTTTTAACCTCTCTAGATTAAACAAAAATTCATGTCTTCTCATAATGTTTACAAAACGAGTTTGAAGTAAAGATCGAGCTTGATCAATTACAAAGAGAAAATAAACACCTCTAAAAGATTTTTCAACTGATTGTATTGTCTCTTCATTGTCGCTTTTATCGAATTGTTTCTTACTTCGAATGTTGTGTTTTTCGCTTCAATTTTCCATTTTACTTGCCACTTGTTAGCTTCATTTATGGTACTAGCAAACCCAAATTATCTGTAATCCTCGAAAAACAAAATAAGTGCTTGAAAAGTTTTATGTTTTCTTGAATTTTCCATAGAATACAGTAGTTATAAACAAAAGTTTATCCAAATTTCTTGCGATATTACATGCTAATTTGTCAATGCATGTGTTTTACAGCTTGAGTTCTAGAATTGTTTCTTACTTCGAATGTTGTGTTTTTCGCTTCAATTTTCCATTTTACTTGCCACTTGTTAGCTTCATTTATGGTACTAGCAAACCCAAATTATCTGTAATCCTCGAAAAACAAAATAAGTGCTTGAAAAGTTTTATGTTTTCTTGAATTTTCCATAGAATACAGTAGTTATAAACAAAAGTTTATCCAAATTTCTTGCGATATTACATGCTAATTTGTCAATGCATGTGTTTTACAGCTTGAGTTCTTTAATGAATAGATGAAAATTTAAAATATGAAACATGTTATTGAAATTTAACAAAAATTAGAAATCGTACCAATTTTTTGATGAAAAAAATTTAGAGACAAAGAGAGACCGCACTGAAAGAATGGTTTCGGCAAGAGAGAATCAGAAGATTAAAGATTGAGAAGAATACAATATGCATGTGGACTTTATTCTTTAATTTGGGCTAAAAAGTGGATTTGATAAAAAAAAAAAAAAAAAAAAAAAAAGTGGAAATTTCACAATTTCATACTTTAAAAATTCACAATTCTAAAATAAGATGGGTAGTTTAACCTTTAAACAATTAGATATTTAATTGTAATTAATATTTTTTAAAATATATATTTTTACTAAATATATACTCCATTACACACACAAATCCTAATTAATTCTCAATATTCTCTCTCTCCACATTTCTCTCTCGTCTCACTCTCACTCTCTCTCTCTCTCTCTCTCTCAAGAAAACGTAGGAGTTGCTAATTTGTTTGGTGTTGGCGGATCTGCACGGGTGTGTGTCGTGTGGCAGTGTGTGGGAAGATGGTGTTTGGTAGGTGGATGTTGTGTGGTGGTTGCGTGATGGTGGCAGATCTATGCAGTCGGAATTTGCATGGTGGTGGCAGATTTGCATTGTGGTGGGGAAGATGTGGTGTGGTCGTTGCGTAATGGTGGTGGATCTGCTCGGGGTGTGTGTGTGTGTGTGTGTGTGTGTGTAGTGTGGTGGTGTGTAGATGTTGTAGGGTGATGGTGTGGTGGTGATATGTTGATTTTGTTCGGTGCCGCGATGATGTGTTGATTTTGTTTGAGACAGTGTTGTTGTTGTAGGGTGATGGTGGTGGTGATTTCGACGGTGATGATGGCATTCGTGATGTTGGAGGTAGTAGTTGTTTGGTGATGGTCGCAGATTAATTGGTTAATTTGTGACCAATGTAACCAATATGAAGGATAAGTTGTGACAAAAAATAATGTGTGATCTAAAAAATTTATAATTTGTGATTGTTTAATAATTTGTGACTAATAATATTTGTCATTTGTGACTTATAAATAAATTGTGACGTATAAATTTTTGATTTGTGATCAACGAACAAATTTGTGACCTATAAAAGTTTTGAATTGTAACTGTAAAATAATTTGTGATATTAAAAATTTTGATTTGTGATCGAAAAATAATATGTGACTAATTAAATTGTGAATATGTGATCAAATTGTATAGATTCGCGACCTTAATATATTTAATTAATAAAATATATAATTAATTAATTAAATTATAAATAAAATTTAATGAATATCTGATTTTTGAAATTTGAAACTTGTTTTCTTACTTTGGAAATGAGTAATAGTTGTCCTCTTAATTATGAAATTTTCCCTTAAAAATGTACATTGACATATATCCATGGATTGGGCCTAATATTTTTCAATACTTTAAAACTAACTAAAATGTAGGCAAAAGTAATCCTGAAATATAAATTCGACGAGCAGATACTTGGACTATTTTTTTTTTTTTTTTTCCCCTTAAGATAATGTGCTTAATGATTGCCGACACTCGCCTCTCAATATTATAACGTTCAATTTGGTAACAGTATCACTCCATGATAAAAGAACTGTGAAGCAGACACCGTTTTATACCATCTTTGAATGAAGCTGAACTTTTAAAAGTGAAAGCCGTATGTATGTATTTTAACCAGCAACTCCATATGTACAGAAGAGTGTTTCACAGAAATGCACTTAGAAATTATACATTTTGGGGCCGATGTTGTAATAAAAAAAGCCAAAAAAATCACCCACCCACCCCAATGTTGTGTCTCTTCTGTGGTGTTTCTGTGTGTACAGTTTCTGCACACACAGCACTGCTCATTTATAACAACTGCCGGAAGATATGGAAAAAGCCATGTGTATAGAATTTTTTTCACATAGCATTTTTTTTTGGTTTTGCTAATTGCCAATGAAAAAATGACAACTGTGTTTCTGTGAAAGAAATTATGGAAGTGTAGCATAACTCGGAAGATATATTTGGTCTAACATTCTACATCTGAAAAGGAAAACAAACATGTTCTAGAAGACCGCAAACAAATGTCGTGTTTCACTAAATTATATGTTACTTGTTGCTTTCTGATTAAAAAATAAATTGAAAAGATATATGTTCATGCTTATAGCCAATTATACGAGCTAGCGCGGGGTGCTTGTGCCAAGACTATTGATACCTCTTTGGTCCCAACCCAAGTTTATACTCGAACTATCCTAACTCCCAAGCGAATAATTCTCGTTTTATTTTCCAAAATGGGATTGAAATCTTTTCAATTTCCTGCCATTTTTAATATCGATTTGCTAATCTATTCCAAGTTCAAAGGCTCATTTTCGACTTTTACTTCTTATTCACTTACTTTCGACTAACTAAATATAATAAAATCACCTCCTTGCGAAGTAGAATGCCCTCAAGCTTAGAACTTCCATAATCTACTAACAAATTCCATTTAATTGATCGAAGTTATTCAAAACCAACTTATATAACCATCTTCTATCTCTTCAAACTTCCGCCATGATGCTTCACTATCTTCTAATAAACAGTTGTGAGACTTTATAGCAGTGGGACACTAGAGATTTGTATCCCACCCGTACAAGTATCATGTACTCATCTTCACGAAAGTAAAATTATATATAATATTATTTTTCTTCATCCAAGTGGGAGTTGCAAATTGACTTGTAGGGTACTTTTACATTATTAAATATACATTTATTCATCAGTAATCTTCTAAAATATAAAATCTTACACACAACATTCAACTTAAATGTAAAATTCCAGCAAAGGGATATCAATCCACTGCTTTTTTAACTGTTTACTAATGACAGCCTCCGGTTGCAAATCCAATTCTTGAATTGGAAAGGTCATAAACAACTTCAATTGTCTGCTGTTGTTGGTTGCCTATAATGGCGACTTCGCTAGGATCAGAATTCTTCGCAAATGCCAAACATGTCGTACCTTTTTCGACTTCTAAAATAACGTTGTGTGGCGCCAGATCAAGATCAGCACCACCATTAAAGATCAATTGAACCTTAGGTACAATTTTTGATATCTCGACCGAAGTCCCTTTGAAACACGCATCGAGTATGGAATACGCTTCTGTAACTTGATACTTGGACGATATGATGCGAACTAACTCCTGTCTAAGGACCTTATACACTGATGCGGTTAGGCGCGATATGGTTGTTCCCGAGTCTATGATCGTAGGGACTCGGTAGCCGGATGCTGCCACGCCCAGTTTACGGCCGGCTACTGATATAGCTGAGAGCTTTAGAAAGTACAAGGTAGGATCCTGAGGTTCAGACAACATCGGAGTGAACTTGAACGAGGACAAAGAAGATTTTCCGAAGGAAAGAAACCCTCCGCTGCCAATTTTTCCTAGGGGCGTATTAGTCGGGAGACAATAAGAGAATAAACTACCATACTTGGGAGACAATTGCGAAAACATAGATAACTCGTTCCGCGCTAGGCCAAATATACCGGCGGATTTTCCAAATAGGCCTTCATTGTCTTGCCCGCACCCGAACACAAAGTTAGGCAGCGCCTGTCCCGTGCCTAGGCTCAGTGAATCTCGACTAAGGTATCCGATGGAACCAGACGTGTCTCCATAAGTAGATATGTATATGCACACGTTCGAAGAAGTGCAGCCGGGATCGTTGAGAGTTGCTACTTCCAGTGCAGAGCACTGTCTTGTGTCACACGATAGCTGCTTATAAGTCCTTGAAGCAGAGGGATTGAAATAGGAACCGATTTGAGGATGGCAATACACTTTACACGGCTCGCACTGGATCCACGAGAAGGAGCTCCCTGTATCGACAACCACGGGATAGTATGTTGGTGGAGTTCCTAGGCCTACTTTGGTATAGTAATTTGCAATACCAAGTGACACCCCAGGATTCAGAGGAACATTGACAGATTTTGGATCAATCAAGCGTCCCAAATCAGCTGCTGTCGTGTTTTTCTTTGCGAGTCTAGAATTTAGGAACATAACTCGAGTCCTGTCCAGAGCAAGAGCCTCGGAAAAGGGCAAGGGAGTCTCAGAAGTCTGGTCTGAGTCTTGCCTTCCTTGGACATGATATAAAGGCAGGTGCAGAGCAGGGTGTTTATGTTGATCAACTTCTACAAAACAAGAAATAAGCGATAAGACTCGAAGACGTAGATTCATTAAATCCATGACATATGATCAGGCGTGAAGTTAAGTCGTAAATGAGAAAAAGCATAGACCAACCTCGAATTTCTCGAACTGATGATGTTCTTGCAAGCAAGAGAGTGAAAAGCAGAGAGAAAATCAACATCATTTCCTCAAAACTCCTTACAAGTGCTTCAGAATTTGTACAAACAGTAGGAATTTATATCAAATCAACAGCTAATTTGGACGAGGCAGGGATGACGTTTCAAATCGAGTTGTGGGGTTCGCAGTACAGCCTTGATGGAGATGAATAACTATTTTGTTGAGACATCTATTTTGCTTTAATTCAGGGACCCATTTCATTGTCTCTGGAAAAGATGATTTTGTGATTTGTGTAACAACAATGATGAATAATATATAATCAACCAAGAAGAAAATAAGCAGAGATTTACGTGGTTGCTTCGATAATTGGGCTACATCCACTGAGCGAAGCGACTACGATTTTATTATACGAAAAATAGGTTTACGTCATACTTACGATCTTATTACATGAAAAACAATGTTACATCATACTAATCCTAGCTCATACAAGACATTAGGGCTCGTACAAAATTTAAAGGAAAACTCCACAAATGCTCTTGTACCATACCGCTGGACACTCCCAACCTAGAATTATGCTATTTGTACAAACTTGGTTTACAAACTATGTGTTGACAACATCTGAACCAATTATTTCAAAAACAAATTTTCATATTAATGACCTAGATTTTGCCAACATTTAATATGTAAATTAACTTTGTAAACAAATTTTGTACAAGTAGATCAATTCCCCAACCTAGCAATTGTCTCTCTCACACACAATAATTGACAAGCCAATGTTTTTAAGTCACGACAAGGTCATTTCAGCCTGGAAGAGAAAATGGATCTTTACACTTGACGCCGATAATTGAGGTATTGGTCACATTTCTCAGTTATCTTGATTCGTATTTCGATTTGATTCAATAATGTCTTGACAAACAATGTTTTCTTCTCAATAAATTTTTCGGTGTATAATCAATCAAATCCTATAAAATCAGTCAACGTTACTAGATTTTGATTGGTACACGTATTAGTGCAAGGTATCGACAGTGATCAGTTTGTAATAAACTCATAATACGTAGCTGCATTANCTAGATTTTGATTGGTACACGTATTAGTGCAAGGTATCGACAGTGATCAGTTTGTAATAAACTCATAATACGTAGCTGCATTACATGGCATTACATTAACCATACAAACATTTTCACTATTTGTAGGAGAAACAAACTTTGACAAATTCCTCAAGGAACAAATTAAAACAAGAAAATGCAACATAAAATCAAGAAATAAATAAACAAAATATTATCATCCGCATATAAACAAATCAAAATCATTACAAATGTTTAATGTCAAGATCACGGCCATAAAATGGGTAAAATCACACCTTGTGCTTCTGTAGATACTCAAAAAATTTATAATGAAGAGAGGCTGTTGAAAATCCTAGTAAAATCGGTAGTTTTTGGTACGAGGTCATAAGAAATTTTAATACAATAAACGCAGCTGTAATCTTGCAGGATCATCATGATATTTTTCATTACAAGAAGATAGCATGTAGAAGTCTTATTTTTACATTACAAAAGCTGGGTCAAAGCCGTTTGTGTGTTTGTTCTAACAATCATGACTCAACGTCGGAAAGCATTGCCTTCGCTTTCTGATCTTCCCTGTAAATAATGTGTTCGACGACGAACACTCTCCTCTATGGTGGAGCTTCCTCCCTTCTCAGCACCATATATGCTCTTTTGAGCAGCATCAAGGAAGTTCCTTCCCAGAGAAGCAGAGTCATGAATGGCTTCCCGAGCATCATTCACCTCTGCTTTCTTTAGTCGTTTCCATCTTTGCTCTTCATGCCTAACAGCATCCATTTCCATCTCCCGCAGCCGAGCAGCTCTCTCTTCTTCAGAAAGCTTAACAGAAGTTCGACGTCTATTATTTGAGTCATGCCTTGGTGGTTTATCAGAAGAATCGAAATGGCTTTTCCTGTCATGACGGGATTCCACATGTCGGTCTGAATAATATTCTTTACATTGAGAGTCATTATAAGTCCTCTTGTTTCTATGTTGTTCTTCATTCTTGTCAACTTTCAGATAATGGTCACTAGATCTCCGTTCTTTGTCGTCCTGGTGATAATTTCTCTTTCTATAAACGTCCCCTTCAGTTGAGTCTTCATCCTGATTCCGGGATGATTTATGTGAAGGCTTGTCATATTTTGAGCCCTTGTGATGACTTGCATCTCTTCTTTTGTCCTCTGGCAAAGTGGTATCTTTGGAGTCGGAGCCACTTTCTGACGATGAATGTTTCTGATGTTTAGACTTCTTGTGGTGATGCTTTTTTCTCCCTTTCTTCTCATCTTTCGTTCTATGATTCTTTTCCTTGGGCTTCTTAGCTTCCACCTGGAAAATGATAAGTGGTCTGAATCAGTTAGCGTTCTACAAAGCTCCTGAGTTGTGCACATCAACGTAACACTGCAAATTCTCTCAACAGGGAACATGCTACATTCAATAGTACAGTCTCCACGAAACAAAATCAAAGGTCTTTGGATCTAAATGACAAAAGAATTAAGAAAGAAAATTCATTTTTCCAAGGAATCCTTTTGAGTGATGCTACTTGTATAAACTTGTGTACAAATTGGTTTACAGATTAATAATGTGGATAAGATTAACTGGCTTGATTTTATTTCCTTCTCTTTTTTCCTCTTCCTCTCTCTTCCACATCATCAATCTGTAAACTAATCTGTACATGTACACATAGCATTACTCATCCTCTATGTATGAATATTAGGAGCACTTTTACTAGTGGGATGCCAAAGGTTACAACTCATTTACCAATCAGATATTCCCCAAACAGAAACTCATGGAAAAGGACCTCAAAGTAAAATCACTACTAATATAGAAGTCCGAGTATAAAACAATATATGCCATGGATCTTTTCGCAGTTTAAGCCCGAAGCAATAGACTGTCAGTTTCCTTTTCTATCACCCACATGCCACAACTTGTAGAACCTTGAAACAGAAACCCTTCCACCCAACCAACACACACGTCAACATTTCAAGACGTGTGTATAATTTGATACGGATCATCTCAAGGGAAAGCAGGCTCAGTAAAGAATTACTTTCAGAGAAATCAGCTACGTCAGAAAAACATGGCATGGAAATATAGAAATGAGTAAGATAAATACAACTAGATGTTCATTCTGATGGAAAAAAGGCTGCAGATGTGAATAACTTCTCTTCAATTAAAAATGGAACTAAAAGAAATCTAATGCAATACAATAAAGGGGATTAAGACGTCAGATTCACCAGAATAAGCTTTACTTCTGCATTACAATGGTTAGTATGGTAAACTGTTTCATACAGTACCTTATAGGTCATACTATGGCATTCCGATCCATGTCAGCAAAAAATAAACAAATTATTGAAGTTTGATGCCACTAAACATAATCCTAACTACTTGAATTAGCAAAAATATTTCGACCAGAGCATGAGTTATGATATAAAAACAACATATTCACATTTTATCATTCTTTAGACATCACATGAATGACGTGCAATACTGATCTTACAGATTTTCGAATCATGGCCATCTGGACGGGGTTATTCTTCACACGAGCAAGAGCTTCCTGCTCTCTTTGACGAATCAAAAGCAATGGATCCGTGTGCAATTTCCTCCACGCATCATTAGCAGCTTGTGGTTTCTCCTCAAATAATGCTCCCGGTGCCGACGACTGCTGCTGCTATAACATTAGCAATTACCATATAAATTAACGATCCACATAAAGAGGGAAAAAACTCAATCTGCAATTCAAAGAAATTACCTTAGTGGTGGCAGCCGAAGAGGAAGAGGCAGTGGTATCAGGATCAGTCCTTGGTAAGGATTCGAGTTCTTTAAAACTAGAACCCCCTTTCCCAACAGCTAATCCTGAATCATATAAAAAATCCAATCGCTCTTGCTTCCTGCAAAATTACACTTTCATGATTTCAAATTAGCCAGCGCAAAATTTGAAAAATACAAACGATTTTCTTAATTAAAATTTTCTATTAAGGAATGGGAAAAAAAAAAAAACCTAATCCCTAATTTGAAATTTCGAACCCTAAGCGCATAAAAATTTGGGAAAATTAGTTAGAACTTACGGGACAAGTCCAGCTTGTTCCTGAAGTTGGCGAAATTCGGAACGCTCCCGTTCCTCGTGAATCTGCTTGCGAAGCTCCTCAAGCTTTTTCTGTTCGGCATCATGCTTTTGCTCGGCTTTCCACACGTTTTCGATGTTGCGGAGGCTACCCGTGTGCCATCCCTTCTTGTTCAGAAACTTCAGAGCCATATCGAAGAAGTCTTCCGATTAATTTCTTGCGAGTTGCAATCGCTTCGAGAAATTTTCTCTCTCTGCACTGTAATTTGTTTTCAATCAAACAATGAACGAGAGCCGTGGTGTTGGGAAATACATGAAATTGGCCCAAATAAATGAGGGATTTTCCAAAATAATCTTTGAGTTTTATAAACATTTTGAACTACCTAAAACACTCTTTAACAAATATTAAAAAATAACCCTTTATCTAATAAAAATCTTCTATTTAAATCTTTAAAAAATTTAACAAGTAATTTTTCTAAAAATTTGTGAGAATTATTAATGAATAATTATAAAATAGAAAAACCCAAATA